CATCGTCGAGGCAAACGACCGCGCCCGCGACATCCTGCGGCGGGCTGACGGGTTGTCCGACCAAGGCGGTTTCTTGGGCGCCTGGCTGCCAGCCGACAATGCCAACCTTCAGAGGCTGCTGGCACGCGCACTCCCCCCCTTCGGTGACCAAGGCGTCAGTGGCTCAATCACCATCGGGCGCCTGTCCGGCCTACCGCGGCTGGCGATGTATATAAATCCGGTGACCGACAATCACTCGGAATTCCGTAATCGCCGCGTTGCGGCGTTGGTGCTGATCGTCGATCCGGCGAGCCAGCCCAGGATCAATCCGGGTCTGGTGGCAGAGACCCTGGGCCTGACGCCGGCGGAAGGTCGGGTGGCGGCCATGTTGGCTGAAGGCAAGACGGTGCGTGATATTGCGATGGCGACGAGCCGCCAGGAAGGCGCCGTCCATTGGCTCTTGCACCAGATATACAGGAAGCGCGGCATTTCGCGTCAGGTGGATCTGGTGCGGTTGGTGCTGTCGCTGTCTGAATGGCCGGGGGCTCAACGTTGAAGGCGCCCTTCGCCGGAATGGGGGAGACGCCTCCCCCCGTGACTGCCTGATACCGCTGGCCCAATGCACGTTTCCTTCTCCCCCTCTCTCTCCCCTATTAAATCACTAGGAATACCTATTTTTGGTCTTGGCAGAATGCACCTCACCGTAGTCCAAGGTCATCTACGAAGGCGCATGTTCAGGTGCGTCTAACGGTATTGACGTTCTGCAATAAGGGAGAGATCGCACCATGAATAAGAGATTCAGTTTCAAGCAATTCCACATGAAACTCTACAGAAGTGCCAAGAAGGACAAGAGCGTGTTCAAGATCGGCGTATGCGTGCTTCTTCTGGCCGCGCTGCCTTTTCTTCAATCATGCGACGGCGGTAACGGCGATCCTGCTGATGATGCCTCAGATGAAGGGTGGGAAGTATGGCTGGCCGATCAATCGGATAGCGCTGACATCAGCGTTGACAATCCGACCGGAACCTATGGCAGTCGAATTATCATTTACGAAAGCAGTGACATCCTTGCCGCTCCTTCTGGATGGTATGCGGAAGACGATCCGGATTACGGGCCGACCGTTATTGAAGCTGTCGACGTATTTCCGTCTGCCTTTGAAGAACTCGGCGTGGATGTACGGCGCCTTCACGGCATGTTGCCGGATCACCCGACGCATCGATACATGAACGCGAATTTTTCGGTCCAGGCGCAGGCATGGTGGGTATTATCGATGCGGAAGGACAATGTACGCAGTCGAGACGGCGGGTCCGGGAATGTCGGGCGGATTCAAGGTGATCCAGATGAGGCTGCGAAGCTGGCCAAGCACTCTTTCGGACCACTGGCCCGGAAGGCTCCGCGCCCTCGAATCATATGTCCTATTTCTCGCCGGACGGCACCAAGCTGATCGTGTCCAATCTTGGCGCCAAGCTTCTAGAACGCATTGATTACGACGCGAAGACCGACTCCTTCATTTTCAACAAGGCTGCCACGCTCGATCTGGTGGGCGACCGCGACCTGACCGCCCTGGAAGCGATGGCCGATTCTACCTGCCCGACGGGCGGGTGAGTGGGGAGTATTCCAACTTTCAGACAATATACACGCCAAGCGGTGCGCTCAAGGAAGGGCCAGGGCGGCCCAATAACGTCGTGGTTTGCGGCAGGCCCAGCAGCAACAATCAGCACGTATACATCACGTTGGGCGGCGGCGGACTGTTTGTGGTCGACATGACCACCGAACCCATGTCCATCGTTGCCGAATATACCGATGACGTCATCAGCGGCGCCGGGTGCGGCGGCGAAGAAGGGGGTGGCTTCATGCACATCAACGCGGGCGTCTCCGCCAGTGCCGCAGGCTGGGACGACTCCGTGTTCATCCTGTATGGGCTGCCGCTCGACTATCCGGACGGCGCAAACCCCCACACGACCCCGAATGTGCCGCGACCCGTGAAATATTTTGAACACAAGAGGCTGGGAATCACCGATGAAGAGGGCCTGGCCAGCCGGCGTGATGCCCACGGCAGTTTCGTCTCGCACGATGATCGGTATCTCTATCAGGCGGACCGCATCCAAAACGTCATTGAAGTATTCGACCTGGACAAGATCATCGACGATCCCGACGCCACGCTGGAAGAGCAGGCAGCGGCGCACGTGAACACGATTGACCTTGCCGGATCGGGATTGTGTGTCGGCGAAGGGCCGCCCTTTGTCATCAAGACGGGTGAAGGCTATGAGTTCAACGACGACCCCGCCACGGACTCCTTGGTTCTTTCTCCCGATGGCAGCAGGCTCATCGTCTCCTTCCGAGGTGCGAATCCAGTCACCGTGAAGCACGCGGCACATGGGTAGTTGCCCCGGAATCGGGGTGGTCACGCTCACCGACGATCGATCGGATGGCGAGCTCACCCATGTATTTCGGACCTTCTTGTCCGACGCCACCGGCACAAGAAATCTGAGCGACATTCACATGGCAATCGTCCGCATCAAAGGACTGAGCATGCCTTGAGGATACGTTTCCGGATCCGGTGCACCGCTCTGGTTCCTGGCTGGGTGCATCGGGTCCGGAGGTTTGATGACTTCAGAGGGCGTGTATGGCTCACACGTGTTGGTTCGTTGGCGTGCGGGTGAACCGGGGTATCTGTACGCAGCGCTAACACGCTACTGATGGCGACCGAGTACCGGGGATGTGCCTGGTGCACCTAATGTGCGTTTCGTTTGAGTACCATGTTGTCAATACGACATGTTGTTCCTCCCACTCACAGCTCACTCACAGCGCAAGCTGTCGCTACTTCACCTCCCGAGATACTGGCTCAGTAGCCAATACCAAGCGTTACGTAACGGCAGACAACGGCTTCTCCGGCCCCCTACCTGTAGCGGCTTGAGTAACCCTGTTGTCAACGCGATATGTTGTTCCTCCGGTGAGCCCGTTTCAAGGTGGGCCGAGCGTCGCTCTGCGCCGTGGCCGGGCTTACGCACACGTTGGCGGAGTGGCTGCCCAAGTTCTATCCTGGGCAATCAGCGCATTGGCAAGCAGCAAGAGCTTGCGCATGACAGCGGTGATCGCCACCTTCGGCGGCTTGCCGGCCTGGCAGAGTTGGCGATACTTCCGGGCCAGGTCAGGATTACAGGCGATCGCTGAGACAGCCGGCATGTAGAGCGCCTGGCGCAGCCTTCGCCGGCCCCCTTGGACGAAGCTGTGCCCTTGCCAGGTGCCGGATTGCCGCGTGACCGGCGCCAGGCCGGCCAGACTGGCCGCGGCCTTGGGGTCGAGCGAGCCAATCTCCGGGAGCTCCGAGAGCACGGCGACGGCGGTGATGACCGAGATTCCCGGGATCGAGTTCAGTATCTCGAACGCCCGCGCTTGCGCAGGATCGGCCTTGACGTGCTTTGCCATCTCGGCCTCAAGGGCTTTGAGTTGGCGCTCGATATGCCGCAGACGGCTTGCGCATTGGCGCTTGAGCAAGGGGACGCGCGCCTGTTTCTGGCGGTTCAGCGTTGCCGTTCGATCCTTGATCAGCGCCTGCCGGGCCGTATGCAGTTCTCGGAGTTCAGTCTGCCACTGCGAGGATGGCATCGATCGAGGCAGGTCAAGCACCCGGCCCATTGCTGCCAAGATCCGGGCGTCGATGGCGTCCGTCTTGGCCTTTTGCCCCAGCGCCTGCGCAAAGCGCCGCGCCTGCAACGGATTGACTCGTGACAGGGGCAGGCCGGCCTTGCCAAGCGCCCGCTCGAAGTCCCGATGCCAAGGTCCTGTGGGCTCGTAGACCACGCGGCTGACCGGGCGCTCCCGGAGCCAGGCAATCAGGCGCCGGAAGCCGACGGTGCTGTTGGCGAACTGCTGAGTCTCGCCTGTTGGGATGAGATGGACGTCCAGGTTGGCTTTCGAGATGTCAACGCCAAGGATATGATCCGTCATCCTTCCTCTCCTGTTCTTGTCATGCGAGCCTTGATGCTCATGTAACCATTCAGGACACTGGGAAGGGCGGTGGCGACCCCACTCAAACACGGCCCCAGTCGGCCCAGATCATGACGGTCCGACCACCGCTACCTCTCCGGGGCGTTCATGCCGCGGACTGGTGACACTTTACAGACAAGATCACGAGTTTTTTGGAGTTGGAGTTCCTGCGAGGGCGTTTTGCCACGACCGGATGAGCCTCTTACCAAAACTCTTGGTATCAAACGGGATTCACTTTAAGTGTCGAAGGGCGTTCAATCTGCCGAGGGCCGCCCTGCTTTAATGTCCTTGTCGACGCAAATTGACCATGCCCCATCCGTGCTGCCCCACTTGCTTGGCGCAGCGGACAACAACGGACGCGTATTCCTCGGGGTATGCCAGCAACGCCTCATACGACGCCAGGTCCTGTTCGGCACATGCTCTCGCCATCGCGCTGCCAAACTCCCCCGTCTGAGACAGACAGCGGGCGATGATCAGGCTCCGCTCATCACTCGTCACCTCGGTTGGCGCACCATGCCCCTTCGGATTGGCCATGGCGTCAAGGCAGGCGTGTCGCTCCATGTTTTGTTCGACTATCGTAGATCGTTCCCGGTCGGAGGCAATAGACGGCTTCAGCACAAAAACGCAACTCGCCCACCAAGCGGCCATCGCGGCGAGGCATACCAGCCGCCATGTGTGCCTGTCTGGATTCATGGCTTTTACGTTCTGTTCGGGACCTGACCTAGCCCCTTGAATCCGGGCCGGGGAGATGTGAGTCCTTTGGAGGTCTTGATAAAGTGATGATTCCCGCTTCTGCCAGCAAAGCCGCGTCACTCCGGCGGGAGCCGGAGTCCAGGGTTTCCCCGGAGTCAGTGGATTCCGGGTCAAGCCCGGAATGACGACTCAGGAATGCTGGGTAACTCATTTGCACCGTCATGACCGATGGGAGACATCGGTTATTCATCACGGCGTGTTCAGAACCTCCTTGGAGAATCAATTTGCATCACCCGTACCAGGGGAGAGGGTTATTCGGTGACACATGGGGCTTTCCGTATTAGTCGTCGCCATTGACGACGTCCTTGAAAAACTTGCCTGACTTGAACCGCACCACCCGCCGCGCCGGTATTTCGGCCTCCTCGCCCGTTTTGGGATTCCGCCCGAGACGCGCGTGCTTTTCGCGCACCTGAAAGGTGCCGAAGCGCCGAAGAACGACCGACTCGCCCCGGCACAGGCTGTCCTTCAGTTCGTCGAGAATCGCGTCCACGGCCTCTTCGGCTTTCACCTTGGTGATGTCGGTTTCATCGGCAATACGATTGACAATCTCGACTTTCCTCATAGGCTGGCGCTCCCGGGTTCAGGGGTGAGGGGCGGTGAGACAACGTATGGTTCTGATGTCTGTGGGCAGGTGGAACTCGTTGAATATCAGATTCTGCCGCCTGAATCAAGAGCGCCGAACCATTTGCAGTATTGATTGCTCAGGCCCTGGGCGGCACCTGTTCCAAGCGCTGGAGCGGCAGCGCCACGGACAGGCTGAGCGCGTGCCAGAGACGTGCCGCGGCGCGGGCGATGCGGGTGAACAGCGAGCTGCGCTGCGTCACGCTGGCCGATTCGCCGCTCAGGGAGGCAAACTCTCGCAGGAGTTCTTCCTGGCGCTCGGTGAGACGGGTGGGGGTGCGCACCACGACGTGGGCGATCTGGTCGCCGCGCCCGCCGCCGCGCACGTGCGGCACGCCGCCGCCGCGCGCAGGATTATCGTGTCGCGGGTCTGGGTGCCGCGCGGGATGGTGAGCGTTTTGGGTCCGTACAGCGACGGAACTTCCACATCCGCACCCAAGGCGGCCTGGGAGAACGAGATCGTCACACCTCGCAATGCACGTCGGTGCCGTCCTGCTCGAAAATATCGTGCGGCGCTACGTGCACCACCACGTACAGGTCGCCCGGCGGCCCGCCGTTGGTGCCCTCCTCGCCCTCGCCGGTGAGACGCAGGCGGGAGTTTTCGTCCATGCCGGCCGGGATCTTCACCGACAGCTTCTTGGGCGTTTGCACCAACCCCAGCCCTCGGCACTCGGGGCACGGGTCGGTAATCACCATGCCTTGGCCGCGGCAGCGCGGGCACGTGGTACGCATGGCAAAAAAGCCCTGCCGCCGCTCCACCTGTCCCATGCCGCCGCAGGTGCCGCAGGTGGTGGGTTGCGTGCCCGGTGCGGTGCGCTTGCCCAGGCACTGGATGCAGGTCTCGGTTTTGTCGAACTCCAGCATTTTCTCGGTACCGGAAACGACTTCTTCCAGGGTGACCTGAACGTCGTAGCGCAGGTCCGCGCCGGCGCGGGCCGCGGTGCGTCCGCCTCGGCGTCCGCCGCCGCCAAAACCGAACAGTTCCTCGAAAATGCTGCCGAAGCTGGAGAAGACGTCCTCGGCGCCGCCAAAGCCCTGAAAGCCGGCGCCCTGCAGGCCGTCGTGACCGTAGCGGTCATACAAGCTGCGCTTTTCGGGGTCGTTCAGCACGTCGTAGGCTTCCGCCGCCTCTTTGAATTTTTCCTCGGCTTTGGGATCGTCCGGGTTGCGGTCCGGGTGGTATTTCAAAGCCAGTTTGCGATAGTTTTTTTTCAAATTCGTCCTCGCTCGCATCGCGCGACACGTCGAGGATTTTGTAATAATCCCGTTTGACCATGGCGTTGTACCTTATGTCGAAGCCGGATTGTGTGAGTTGCCCGGCGCCTCGCGCATGGCCAGCAGGGCGCGCGTTTCTTCCTGCGCGGCGCGGAGCTTGCGCAGCAGGTCCATGATGATCGTCACGCCCGCCAGATTGACCCCCATCTCGCGCGTCAGATTCAGAATCGTGCTGAGGTGGTCAATGTCCCGGCGCGAGTAGAGCCGCGTGTTGCCCGCCGAGCGTTCGGGATGCAGCAGCCCTTCGCGCTCGTACAGGCGCAGGGTCTGCGGATGCACGTTGAACATGCTGGCGACGGCGCTGATGGTGAAGTATTCCTTGCCGGCCATGGCTTACCACCCCTTGGCGCGCGGTTGCATGGGATTGCGGGCGCTGAACTCTTCCAGCAGCTCCCGCGAGCGGTCGTCCAGCGTCTCCGGCAGCACGACGTGCACGCGCACGTACTGGTTGCCGCGCTCATTGCCTTGCCGGTTCGGCGCCCCCTTGCCGCGCAAGCGGAAGCGGCGGCCATTCTGCGTGCCGGGCGGCAGCGTCATGGAAGTGGGGCCGTCGATGGTGGGCACCTCGATTTTGGCGCCCAGCATGGCCTCGGCCAGCGTCACCGGCACCTCGCACTCGATGTCGCTGCCGCGGCGCTCGAAGTAGGCGTGCGGCTTGACCCGTATGACGACGTACAGGTCGCCCGGCGGCGCGCCCGCGGTTCCGGCGGTGCCCTTGCCGGCGATGCGTATCTTGGAGCCGGTGTCGACGCCCGGCGGGATTTTGATCTGCCGACGTTCGACGCTGCCGTCCCGGTGGGTCAGCTTGACGCGCGTCGTAGTGCCGCGCAGGGCGTCCTCGAAGGGAATTTCCAGGGTCTGCTCAACGTCCTGCCCGCGTTGCGGCATCGGCCCGGCGCGCCCGCCGCCGCCGCCCGCGAACAGATCGTCAAAAATGGTGCCGAATCCCTCGGTAAAGCCCCCCCCTGAGCCAAAGATATCGCGGATGTTACCGGTGTGAAAACCGCCGAATCCGCCGCCGCTCGTGTCAAATGCCTGGTGCCCGAAGCGGTCGTATTTCGTGCGGCTCTCGGCGTTGCCCAGCACCTCGTAAGCCTCGGATATCTCCTTGAATTTCTGCTCGGCAGCAGCGTCTCCCGGGTTGACGTCCGGGTGGTACTGGCGCGCCAGCCGGCGGTAGGCCTGCTTGATCTCTTTTTCGGAGGCGTCCCGTTTGACGTTGAGGGTCTGGTAGTAGTCCTGCTTGGCCATAGGCCAGTTTCCTTCCAGGCTTGGCGCGCACGATGGATGTGGGGGTTGGAGCGAAAGGCTGAGCGGGGAAGAATTATGATATGTGAGTCTTGGCATGTCAACCTTGCAGTGCTTTGCGCAGCAAGGCCGGAGCGGTCAGCTTGTCAGAGGCGACACCGTCAGGCGGGAGGGCTTCTCGATTTCCATGAAGATGGCGCCGTCTTTGAAGATGCGTACGTCGCCGGTGGATTCGGAGATGACGATGGCGACGGCTTCGGTGACGGAGGTGATGCCGGCGGCGGCGACGTGGCGGGAACCCAGGCCCTGGGGCAGGTCGACGGTGGATTCCAGAGCAGCGTTGAGGTGGCGGCCGGCGGAGGTCACCTCGCCGTCTTCGCGGATGACGAAGGCGCCGTCGAGGGCAGAGAACTCCTTCAGGGTTTCGCGCAGTTGCGGGTTGAGCAGGTTGCGCTCCTCGGCGGGATAGCCCTGGAACGGGTTGAAGATGGTTTGACGCGAGAACTGCATCACCTTGTCGTGGTCGCCCAGCACGAAGGTGGCGCCCACCGGCTTGCCCTCGCGTCCCTGGCTGGCCAGTTCCACCGCGAGATTCAACAGTGCCTCGAAAACCGCGGAGGGGATGTTGCCCGCGATGGCCGACACGTTCGTGGAGATGAGCAACTCCCGTTCCTTGCCGATGTCGAGCACGACGATGCAATCGAGGGAGCCGAAAACCGATGATCCGGTCAGGCAGACGATCTTGTCCCCCTCGGTGACGTGGCCCTCGGACAGCGCCATAACCACGGCGAGCTTGATCTGTCCCATGCGGGTGAGTGGAATGGGCGGCAGGCGCAGGGTGGCGGAGACCTCCGCGCTGGGCTCGGTGCGGCTTTCGGAGTGGGTGATCAGGATGATGTCGGTGGCGTCCAGCATGCCGCTGGGGATGGGATAGTCCTGAATGGCGTCGGCGTAGACGAACAGGGCGTGGGCGCCGATTTCGTTGGCGATGACGCAGGCTGATTCGACGATGACGGTATTAAGAGAACCCATATCCGCCTCACAGGACAACGAGCCGCTGCTTGGGACGACGTACATTTTTGTTGAGACAGTGTAGCCAAACCGGCGGCTGTCTGTCAAAAGATGGTTGCCCCGCGTGTGCTATAGTGCTGCGCCTGTTTCAACGGGGTTCGTCAAACTTTCCACCATGCCACCGAGAAACCGCCTATGACGACGCAGCGCGCCCCCGCTTCCCTCCGCCGCCGGCGCAACATCGGCATCATTTCGCACATCGACGCGGGCAAGACCACCGTGACGGAGCGCATCCTCTATTACACGGGCCTGACGCACAAGCTCGGCGAGGTGCATGACGGGCAGGCGGTGATGGATTGGATGCAGCAGGAGCGCGAACGCGGCATCACGATCAGCGCCGCGGCGACGACGTGCGACTGGCAGCGGCACCAGATCACCATTATCGACACGCCCGGGCACGTGGACTTCACCATCGAGGTGGAGCGCTCGCTGCGCGTTCTGGATGGGGCGGTGGCGATCTTCGCGGCGGTGGAAGGGGTGCAGCCGCAATCCGAATCGGTGTGGCACCAGGCGAACCGCTACCGGGTGCCGCGCCTGGCGTTCATCAACAAGATGGACCGGCTGGGAGCGGACCACGAGCGCGTGCTGCAGGACATCCGGGACACCCTGGGCGCCTCGCCACTGCTGCTGCAACTGCCCCTGGGAACGGAAGAGCACTTTCAGGGGATCATCGACCTGATCGACATGCAGTGCGTGAGCTGGCGCGCCGACGATGCCGGGATGACGCCGGAGACAGGCGCCATTCCACCGGAGTTTGAGGAGGCGGCGCAGGCGCAGCGGGCCGCCTTGCTGGAAACGGTGGCCGAGCACGATGACGACTTGCTGGAACGGTACTTGGCCGGTGAGCCGCTGGACGCCGAGGCGATTCGCAGCGCGGTGCGCAAGAGCACCCTGTCCGGCGCCCTCGTGCCGGTGCTGCTGGGCTCCGGCCTGCACAACAAGGGCATCCAGCCGCTTCTGGACGCCATCGTGTGGTATCTGCCGTCGCCCGTTGACGTGCCGTCGATTACCGGTGTCGAGCCGACCGAGGAAACCGCCGCCGAACGCCATAACGACCCGAGCGAGCCGCTGGCGGCGCTTGCCTTCAAGGTGGCGCTGGACCAGGGCCGCCGCCTCACCTATCTCCGTCTCTACGCCGGCTGCCTTGAGGCCGGCACCCAGATCTACAATCCCAGAACCGGCGCGAATGAGCGGGTGGCGCGCCTGTTGCGCATGCACGCGAACAAGCGCCAGCGCCTGGACCGGGCGCAGGCCGGGGACATCGTGGCCGCTACCGGGTTGAAGGACGCGACGACCGGCGACACCCTGTGCGACCCCGCGCATCCCATCCGCTTCGAGGCCATCGCCTACCCGGAACCGGTGATCAATCTGGCCGTGGAACCGATGACCAACGCCGAGCAGGACAAGTTGCAGTCCGCCCTTGAAAAGCTTGCCGCTGAGGACCCGACGCTGCAGGTGCAATTTGATGAGGAGCGGGGGCACACCATATTGTCGGGCATGGGCGAGCTGCACCTCGAGGTGCTTATCCGTCGCCTGGCCGATGAGTTTAAGTTGGCCGTCAACGTGGGGAAACCGCAGGTCGTCTATCGCGAGACTATTCAGGGTGAGGCGGAATGCTCGGAGACTTTTGACCGGGAGATTGCCGGCAAGCGTCAGGTTGCCGAGGTTACGTTAGCCGTCGCGCCCGCTGCTTCCGGCGCCGGCCTTGAATTTGCCGGTACGCCGCCGGAAGACGCCGAGGCGCCAGCGGACATGATTGACGCCGTGCGGCAGGGCGTTCTGGATGCCGCGTCGTCGGGGGTGATGCAAGGCTATCCGGTGGTTGACGTGCGTGTTGAACCGCGCCGCTTGCTCTGCCGGGACGACAGCACCCCGCTGGCCTTTCAGGTCGCCGCCGGGCAAGCCTTTCACCGCGCCCTGGAAGCGGCGCAGCCTGTTCTGCTCGAACCGGTGATGAGCCTCGAAATCCTGGTGCCCGAGGCGTTTGTCGGCAGCGTCATCAGCGGGTTGCAGAGTCGCCGCGGCGTTGTTGAAGGCATCGAAAGCCAGGGCCTTCAGCACGTGCTGCGCGCGCGCGTTCCGCTTGCCGAAACCTTCGGCTACATGACGGATCTGCGTTCCGCCAGCCAAGGGCGCGGCACCTTCAGCATGCAGTTTGCGCACTACGCGCCGGCGCCGTAGCCCGAAGACCGCAGCAAGGCCAGGGTTCGCACCAACGGCAGGCCCACCACGTTGTTGTAGCACCCTTCCAAGGCCGCGACGAATTGCCCGCCGACGCCTTGAACGGCGTAGGCGCCGGCCTTGTCGAACGGCTCCCCGGTGGCGATATACGCTTCGATATCCGCAGCCTGCAAGGTGTGAAAACGCACCCGTGTGCTCACGACGTCGCACTGCACGATGCGCCGGCCGTGGTGCACGACGGCCACGCCGGTCATCACCGTGTGCTCGCGCCCGCTGAGGCTGCTCAGCATGTCGCGCGCCGCCGCGGCGGCGGCCGGCTTGCCAAGGATGTGTTGGTCGAGGACGACGACCGTGTCGGCGCCCAGCACCCAGGCAGAGGGAAATTGTTGAGCCAGTTGCTCGGCTTTTGTTCGGGCCAGGCGCGCGACGTAGATTCGTTCGCGCGCTCCGCGGCAATGGTGACGCTCAGCGAAAAGGTCGAATGCGCGCCGGCATGACGCTGAACGGCAGTTCCAGCGTTACCAGGAGTCGCAGCGTCGTGAAGCCGAGCGACGCTGGGCATGTCGGGTAGACTCGTAGGGCTGACGACCGTATCCGAGGCCATGGTCGTCCGATCCGCCGCTACACGTCGCGGGTGGTGACGTAATCGCGAGGCGCGTCCAGCGTTGTTCCATAGCTTTGCAAGGCGCGAAGGATTCGATCTGTTGCTTGGCCTGATCGACGTGTTCCTGCGCCTTGGCAAGGGTGGATTTCAGGGTGCCGTACTTGTGCAGGAGGGCGGTTACCTGCCGCGGGACCGCCTCGTCGTTGGACCCATTGTTCACGTAATCGGTAACGAACTGAGACTCCTCGGGACTGGCCTGTTGCAGCAACGAAATGATCGGCAGGGTGATCTTGCCCTCTTTGAGGTCGTTGTGCACCGGCTTGCCGAGCTTGTCGGCGGGGGCGACGAAATCCAGCGTGTCGTCGGCCATTTGGAAAGCCATCCCCAGGTGGTGCCCGAACGCCTCGACTTTATCGCGTTGCTGCGGCGAGATGCCGCCGATGATTGCGCCGATTTTGCAGCTTGCCGCAAACAGCGAGGCCGTTTTGAGCGCGATAATGCGGTAATACTCCACCTCGCTGATGCCCAGGTCACGCTGCTTCAGCGTTTCGATCACCTGGCCCTTGGCCATCTCGACGGTCACGTCGGACACTGTTTCCATAACCAAGTGGTCCTTGTCGGCCAGCGCCAGCGACATCGCCTTGGCGTAGAGGTAATCGCCGATCAGGATGGAGATTTCGTTGCCCCACAGCGAATGAACCGTTGGATTGCCGCGCCGCAGCTCGGCGTGGTCCATGACGTCGTCGTGCAACAGGGTGGCGGTGTGGATGAACTCGATGACGGTGCTGAGGTCGTACATGCGCTGACCGGCGTAACTGCATAGGCGAGCCGACAGGATGAGCAGCGCCGGGCGGATGCGCTTACCGCCGCTGGACAGGACGTATTGCGCGGTCTCTGAGATGAAGGGAACGTCGGAATCCAGATGCTTGGCGATGGCCGTTTCAACCTGCTGCAAGTCGGCTTCGACGAAGCGCCGCATTTCCTTATATAACATGAACTCCACACTTTTCAGCACGGGGATTGGGGGGATTTGCAGAAGGGCCAACTCTAGAAGTATCTGCCCTTGGTGTCAAGCCGCCGGCCCGCCTTAGGGTCACGGTGGGTATGGTATACTGGCCGCCCTCAATTCAATTGCCAGAACAGCCCGTGGCGGGCTGAAAACAACACACTCTGGTGGACAAGTCATGGTGTTGGCCAAGGTGCTCAGTAGCACCCTGTTGGGCGTTGACGCCTATCGCGTTGAGGTGGAGGTCGATTTGGCCAACGGCCTGCCGATGTTTACCACGGTGGGGCTGCCCGACGCCTCCGTGCGCGAGAGCCGCGACCGCGTCAAGGCGGCCATGGCCAACTGCGGTTTTCCCTTCCCGCTGCGGCGCATCACCGTAAATCTGGCCCCGGCGCATCTGCGCAAGGCGGGCACGGCCTTTGACCTGCCGATTGCCCTGGGTGTGCTGCAGGCGGCAGGATACATCCAGTCCGAGATGCTCGCTCGCTATCAGGTTGTCGGCGAGCTGTCGCTCGATGGCCGTGTCAAGGCCGTCGCCGGCGCCCTGCCGATGGCGGTCGGGGCGCTGGAATCGGGTGTGGACGGCATGGTGGTGCCGCTTGAGAACGCCGCCGAGGCGGCGGTGGTGGAAGCCGTGCCGGTGTTCGGGGTCGAGACCCTGGCGCAGGCGATCGGTTTCTTCAACGGCACCGAATCCCTGTCCCGCACGGTCAGCGACGTGAACACCCTGTTCGAGAACAAGGCGGTGTATGCGGAGGACTTGGCCGACGTCAAAGGCCAGCAGCACGTCAAGCGCGCCCTGGAAGTCGCCGCGGCCGGTGCCCACAACATGCTTTTGATCGGCCCACCCGGTTCCGGCAAATCGTTGATGGCGCGCCGGCTGCCCTCCATCCTCCCCGACATGGAGTTGTCGGAGGCCATCGAGACCTCGAAGATCCACAGCATCGCCGGCCTGCTGCACCGCGACCAGGCCCTCATCGCCACGCGTCCCTTCCGTTCCCCCCACCACTCGACATCCGATGCGGGGCTGATCGGCGGCGGCACGATTCCGGGGCCGGGGGAGGTCAGCCTCGCGCACAACGGCGTGCTGTTCCTCGACGAACTGCCCGAGTTTCGCCGCAGCGTGCTGGAGGTGTTGCGGCAGCCGCTGGAAGACGCCCAGGTGACCATCGCTCGCGCCTCCATGGCCCTGACGTTTCCGGCCCGCTTCATGCTGGCGGCGGCGATGAATCCTTGCCCGTGCGGCTACAGCACCGACCCGCAGCGTGCCTGCCACTGCTCGGCGTAGCAGTTGCAACGTTACACGAGCCGAATTTCCGGCCCCCTCCTGGACCGGATCGATATCCATATCGAAGTGCCGCCCGTGCGCTATGCCGATCTGGCTTCTTCCGCCGCCGCCGAACCTTCGTCCGCCATTCGAGCACGGGTGAACGCCGCCCGGCAGCGTCAACGGGCTCGTTTCGCCGGCACCGACATTCCTCACAACGCCGTCATGGGCGTCCGCAACATCCGGCAATACTGCAAGCTCGACGACGCCGGCGAACGCCTGCTCGAACAGGCGATGCACCGCTTCGGCCTCAGCGCCAGAGCCCACGACCGCATCCGCAAAGTGGCCCGCACCATCGCCGACCTCGCCGGCGCCGATGCCATCGGCATCGAGCATCTCTCGGAAGCCGTCCAGTACCGCACCCTCGACCGCCAATCGGGGTGACCAGCCGGCCGCCCGGATGCCCCCGCCCCGAAGAGAAACACTCACCCAGTTCTGCTATACTGTCGCCCGCCGCACGCCTGAGCGGGGCGCGGCCTCTTCTCTACCTTTCCTTGAAGATTTGAGGTGTTTATGTTGGGCATTGGGTTGCCGGAGCTTATTCTGATTTTGGTCTTGGCGCTGCTGGTTTTGGGACCCCAACGTCTGCCCGAGGCTGCCCGCATGCTGGGGCGCGGCTATGCCTATCTACGGCAGGCCAGTGAGGAGTTCCAGAACACCATCAAGCAGGACATCGCGGCCATGGACCGCCAGGAAGACGCGCAGCAGAACAAGGCGGTCGCTCAAGAGATTCGGGAACGCTTTGCCACCGTCCCGGAGGCGCAGACAACCATCAGTCTGACGGAGCAGCCCCAGGATGGCTGATACCCCCATGCCGTTGACGGCACACCTTACGGAGTTGCGGACGCGGCTCTTCTGGAGTGTGGCCGCCCTTGCCGTTGGTTTTCTGGTCTGTTACGGCATCTCCGATTTCATTGTCGCGGCAGTGCAGTTCCCCTGGACGCCGATTGGCGAGGGCCTGCACGTGCCGCTGCAGATCATCGCCCCCGCCGAAGCCTTTCTCACGTACCTTAAAGTCGCCTTCTTCGCCGGGCTGTTCATCGTTTTGCCCGTCATCCTGCACCAGTTGTGGAAATTCGTGGCGCCAGGACTCCTGGAGCACGAGCGTAAGTACACGATCCCCTTTCTGGTCGGTTCGACAACGCTGTTCTACGCGGGCGGTGCGCTGTTCTACCTCCTTCTGCCGTTTGTGGTGACCTTCCTCCTCAGCTTCGCCAGCGACGACATCACCGCGCACCTGTCGGTCGGCTATTACGTCTCTTTCTGCCTGCGGCTGATGATCGCCTTCGGGCTTGTCTTTCAACTGCCCGTCGTGGTGGTGTTTCTCACCCAACTCGGTCTGGTCACCTCGCGCGGCCTGATCCGGCATTTCCGTTACGCGGTGGTCTTGGCCTTTGTGCTGGCCGCGGTGTTGACCCCGCCGGACCCGATTTCGCAGAGCTTCATGGCGTTGCCGACGCTGCTGCTCTATAGCGTCAGCATCCTGGTTGCCAAGCGCATCGAGTCGCGCCGGGCGCGCGAAGCTGACGATGATGATGACGATGAGGATTAGGGAGAGTCGATCATGGTGGAATCCATGCGTGATGTAGACTTGGCAAATATGAGCAATATCTTCAAGGAGCGATTTGACAGGCTCATCGAAGGACGCTTCTTCTTCACGACTGAGGAACCTTTTGAGGACCTGCTGCGCCGCACCAAAGCTGTGCTCGAAGGACACTTTGTCCTCAGCTCGGGCTTGCACAGTTCGCACTACATCCAATGCGCCCGCACGTTGCAACATCCGAAGCATGCCGAGGCGTTGGGGGGTTGTCTGGCGGACAGATTCCAAGATTACGCGGTGGATGCGGTCATCTCGCCGGCCCTGGGCGGCCTCATCATCGGGCACGAAACAGGGCGGGCGCTCGGCGCGCGGGCGATTTTTGGCGAACGCGACAACGGCGCGATGACCTTGCGGCGGGGGTTCGGGCTGCAACCGGGTGAACGGGTGGTAATCATCGAAGATGTCATTACGACCGGCGGTTCGGTGCGCGGTCTGATTCGTCTGGTGGAGGACCTTGAGGGGATTGTGGTGGGGGTCGGAGCCATCCTCGACCGCAGCGGCGGCCAAGTCGACCTGGGCGTGCCGCTGAACGCCTTACTCACCATGCAGGTGCCTACCTATCAACCCGAGGCGTGTCCCCTGTGCCAGCAGGGCAGTTCGCCGGTGAAGCCCGGAAGCCGACAGCAGGGAGCGGGGGGCTAGAGTCGGGGGTCTGTAGACCCAATCTTACGATTACCCGTCGCGCCACTGCGGACTTCGCGCAAGCGGCCAACCCACGAATCGCATCTTTCGACATCCGCTGCCGCGTTTCGTTCGTCCTGACGAGTTGATTGAAGGAGCCCGCGGGACATATGAGTGGAAACAACGACCCGAGGATGGTGACCAGAGTCGCTCTGCGGAACTACAAGAGCATTGCCGCCTGTGACGTACGGCCGGAGGCGCTCTCGTTTCTGGTTGGCCCCAACGGCTGTGGCAAGAGCAACTTCCTTGATGCCTTACGCTTCGTGGCCGAGGCGCTGCGCTTGTCGCTGGACCACGCGCTGCGCGACCGTGGCGGCATTCAGGAGGTGCGGAGACGTTCCGGCGGCCACCCCAACAACTTCGGAATTCGTCTTGAGGTTAAGCTCCCCCGTGCCGAGGGCTGGTACGCATTTCGGGTTGCGGCGAAACCCGGAGGGCGATACGGAGTCCAGCAAGAGGAGTGCGTTGTCCTTGGTGAGGATGGACACGGCTCCTATAAGGTCGAAGATGGCAAAGTGATTGCCAGCACGATACCCAATCCACCAGCGTGTGCAAGTGACCGTCTCTACCTTGTCAACATGTCAGGCCTGGAGGTGTTCCGCCCGCTCTATGACGCGTTGTCTGGAATGGGCTTCTACAATCTGAATCCCGAAGCAATCCGGGATCTCCAGGCACCCGACCCTGGAGAGCTCTTGAAGCGGGACGGAAGCAACTTGGCCAGCGTCCTGTCCAACCTCAAGAGTGGCCGTAAGACGGCGGTGGAAGAGTACCTCACCGCGATAACTCCCGGCGTCACCGGTGTTGCGGCTCGGACCATGGGCACCAAGTTGACCCTCGATTTCCGCCAAGAGGTGCGCGGCGCAAAGCACCCGTGGCGGTTCCCGGCGAGCAACATGTCCGACGGCACACTGCGCGCACTTGGCGTCCTCGTTGCGTTGTTTCAAGGCGATGGCGAATCGGTCGAACGGCGCCACTTGGTCGGCATCGAAGAGCCGGAGAGCGCTCTTCATCCCGCCGCTGCCGGCGTCCTCATCGACAGCCTGACCGACGCCAGTCAATGGACGCAGGTCATCGTTACGAGCCACAGTGCGGACCTGCTTGACAATGACGTCATACCCGACAGCTCAATCCTCGCCGTACTGTCTGAACACGCCGAGACCCGGATAGGACCCCTCGACGAGGCCGGTTGTTCGGCGCTCCGCGATCATCTCTTTACCGCCGGTGAACTGCTGAGGATGGATCAATTGCGCCCCGACCCGGACCGGTCAGCCCCCCACCAGCTTGATCTGTTTGAGAGCACGCACTGACGAATGTCGACCATCATCACAATCGTGGAAGGACAGGGCGAAGTGTCCGCAGTGCCGATCCTCATCCGCCGCATTGCCGCCGCCGTACCCTCCGTCGTACCGCAAGTGCCGAAGCCGATTCGAGTAAAGCGTAATCGCTTTCTCAAGGAGAATGAACTGGAACGGTACGTCGACTTGGCTGCCCGACAAGCCGGATCCGATGGTCGCATCCTGATCATCCTCGATGCCGACGACGATTGTCCCCCGGAACGTGCGTCGGAGATTCTCCAGAGAGCCACGGCAGCGCGCAGTGATTGCCGTATTCGGGTTGTGCTGGCGCGGCGCGAGTACGAGGCTTGGTTCCTCGCGGCTGCCGACTCTATCGCTGGACACCGCGAGCTTCGTAGTGATATGACCGCGCCTACCGAGCCGGAGTCGATCCGAGACGCGAAAGGATGGCTGACCTCACACATGCCGCCGGGCCGAGTGTACAAAGAAACTCGTGACCAGCCGGCACTTACCACGATGTTCAATCTCGATCAGGCGAGACGCGGAGCGCGGTCATTCGACAAGATGTGGCGCACGGTGATGGATTTGATGCAGTAATTTGTGGCGGCTTGAGAATATCGGGCGTCACAGGGTCAACAATCCCATGGATTCAGCCCCAAATACCCACGTCGAATTCGAGCGCGTATGCAAGAGCTACGACGGACGAGTCCAAGTCGTGCGTGATCTGGACCTGACCGTGCGAGACGGGGAGTTTCTGACCCTGCTCGGTGCCTCCGGCTCGGGCAAGACGACCTGCCTGATGATGCTGGCCGGCTTTGAGGCGCCCACCTCGGGCACCATCGCATCCGCGGCCGCTCGGTGCATGACCTGCCGCCGCGCAAGCGGGGGATCGGCGTGGTCTTTCAGAACTACGCGCTGTTTCCGCACATGACGGTTGGCGGTAATTGGCGTTCCCGCTTGAAGTGCGCGGGCTCGACCCGGTACAGCGTCGGGAGCGTGTCCGGCAGGCGCTGCAGCTCGTGCGCCTGGAGGGATTTGAGGACCGCCGACCCAACGAGTTGTCCGGCGGCCAGCAGCAGCGCGTGGCCATTGCCCGGGCACTGGTGTTCGAGCCCAGTCTGGTATTGATGGATGAACCGCTCGGGGCTCTTGACCGCCGGTTGCGGGAAGAAATGCAGTATGAGATTCGGCGTATTCAGCGCAGTCTGGGAATCACGGTCGTCTACGTCACCCACGACCAGCAGGAGGCGATGGTGCTGTCGGACCGGGTCGCCGTCTTTCGCCGCGGCCGCGTTGAGCAGATCGCCCTGCCCGAAACGCTGTACGAAGAGCCGGAGCGCCCGTTCGTTGCCAGCTTCATCGGCGAAAATAATCTACTGCGCGGACGGGTTCTCAGCGTTGAGCACGATATTTCGAGGGTGGAGGCCGGCGGCCAGATCGTCCAGGCCTTCCAGGTGACGCCGTGCCAACCGGGCGACGACGTCGTCCTCGCCATTCGTCCAGAGCGGGTCAGCCTCGCGCCCGAGCCGGCGTTGTACAGCAACTGGTTTGAAGCCGGTATCGAGGACATTGTGTTCCTGGGCGACCACCTGCGCCTGCGGGTGTCGGTGTGCGGCAGCACGGACTTCATCATCAAGATTCCCAATATCGTCGGTCACGGCGCCGTGCTGGAGGGCGACCGCGTCCAGATCGGCTGGACGGAGACCGATTGCCGGGCCTTGGCGCCAGACGAAGAGGAGCTTACGTCATGACATCCCCCTTGCATCGCACCCGAATCCGCCCGGCAGTTTATGCCGCGGCCCTCGTTTTGCTGACCGGCCTGAGTTGGAGCCATCCGGTTGCCAGCGACGAATCGCTCACCGTGGTCTCTTGAGGAGGCTCGTACGCCCGTGCCTGCCAGAAGGCGCAGCACGAGCCCTTCACCGCCGAGACGGGCATCGACATTCGCCTGGAATCCTACAACGGCGGCTTGGCGCAAATCCGTGCCCAAGTGGAGAGCGGCAGGGTGTTCTGGGATCTTGTCGATCTGGAGATGGCCGACGCGGCGCGGGGCTGTGACGAGGGGCTGCTCGAACCTGTCTCCAGCGACGACCTGCTACCGGCGCCGGACGGCATCCCAGCGGTGGACGACTCTTCCCCGGCATGCTGACCGAATGCGGCGTCGGCATGCTGTTCTACTCCACCGTGTATGCCTATAACTCCGCTCACCTTGCCGGCCCCGAACCGACGACGGTCGACGACTTTTTCGACCTGGAGAAATTCCCCGGCCGCCGCGGTATGCGCCGCAGTCCATTGGTCAATCTGGAGTTTGCCCTGATGGCCGACGGCGTGCCCCTAGATCAGGTGTATGCGACGCTGGACACCCCGGAGGGCGTGGAGCGGGCATTCCGCAAGCTCGACACGATCAAGGACCACATCGTCTGGTGGGAAGCCGGGGCACAGCCGCCCCAAATACTGGCTGACGGCGAGGTGGTGATGAGCACGGCCTATAACGGCCGCATCTTCAACGCGCAGATCCTGGAAAACCAGCCTTTTGTGATTGTCTGGGACGGACAGGTGCTGGACCGCGGCGTCCTCGGCATTGTCGCCGGTACGCCGAGACTGGAATTGGCCCGTAAGTTCCTCGCTTTCGCAACGCGGGCCGAGTCCCTGGCCGCGATCGGGCGCTATATCGCCTACAGTCCCGCCCGCAAGTCGGGAACGGCCCTGATCGGCACCCATCTCGAGACCGGGGTGGACATGAGGCCGCACATGCCAAATAGCCCCGAAAACGTCGCTCGCGCCCTGCTCCACGACTGGCAATGGTGGCGAGACCGCGGCGACGAGATGAACGAGCGCTTCAGCGCATGGCTGGCCCGCTGATCGGTCCACGGCTTCGCGCCGTGGCCCTGGTTCTCCCCCTGGTCGCCTTTATCGGGCTGACCTTCGTTGCCCCGCTGGCGACCATGTTGTCGCGCAGCGTGTACGACCCGGTAGTCGCCGACGCGTTGCCCGAGACCCTGGGCCTGCTGCGGGACTGGGACGGCGCGCAAACGCCGCCCGAGCCGGTGTTCGAGGCGGTTGCACGCGAACTGCGCAAGGCGCGTGAAGAGCGCACCCTGGGACGGATCGCGGCGCGTGTCAATCGTGTGCGCGGCGGGCTGCGGACCGTCATCACCCGCACGGCGCGGCGCCTGCGTGAAGCGGAAAGCCCCTCGTGGCGCGACACGTTGGTCGGCGTTCACGATGCGTGGGACGAGGTGCAAACTTGGCACGCGATTCGCCAAGCCGGCCGGCGTTTCACGGATCGCCATTATCTGCACGCCCTGGACCTGGAACGCCAGATCGACGGCCGCATTGCCCCGCGCCCGGCCGAGTTTCGCGTCTATCTACCCCTCCTGTGGCGCACCCTGGTCGTGAGCCTGAGCCTGACCGTACTGTGCCTGCTCCTCGGCTATCCGGTCGCCTATCTGATTGCCCATTCCCCGCCACGCCGGGCGAACCTCCTCTGCTGGTGCTGGTGCCGTTCTGGACCTCCCTGCTGGTGCGAACGACCGCCTGGATCGTGCTGCTCCAAACGCAGGGGGTGGTCAACAGCGCGCTGGTGGCGCTGAACCTGATCGCCGACGACAGCCGCCTCGCCATGATTTACAACATGACCGGCCATGGTCGCCATGACCCACGTCCTGTTGCCCTTCATGGTGCTGCCGCTGTACGCGGTCATGCGCACCATCCCGCGGCTGCACATGAGCGCTGCGGCGTCGCTGGGCGCCAGCACGGCCCAGGCGTTTTGGCGGGTCTACTGGCCGCAGAGCCTGCCGGGCGTCGGCGTCGGCTCGTTGCTGGTCTTCATCCTGGCCATCGGCTACTACATCACGCCCGCGCTGGTCGACGGCCGCAGCGGTCAGCTCATTTCCAACATGATCGCCTACCACATGCAGAGTTCCCTGAACTGGGGGCTCGCGGCGGCGCTCGGCGGTCTCCTCCTGGCCTTCGTGCTGGTGCTGTATCTGGTGTACAACCGGCTGGTGGGAATCGAACGGATGAGGCTGGGCTGAGATGACGCCGAGAGGATCCTGGGAGCGCGCCGGGCGGGCCGCTTATCTGGCGTTCTGCGCCGCGGTGTTCGTGTTTCTGATTGCGCCGATCGTGGTGATCGTGCCGCTCAGCTTCAACGTCCAGCCCTACTTCACCTTTACCGAGGGGATGCTGCGCCTGGACCCTTCCGCCTACTCGCTGCGCTGGTACCGGACCGTCGTGGGCGACCCGGAGTGGGTCCGAGCCCTGTTCAACAGCCTGTTCATCGGCCTGTCCGCCACCGCCTTGGCAACCGCGCTTGGCACGCTGGCGGCCCTGGGCCTGACGCATCCCGCGCTGCCGGGCCGCTCGGCGATCATGGGTCTGCTGATCTCGCCGATGATCACCCCGGTGATCATCTCGGCGGCAGGCATGTTCTTCTTCTACTCGAACCTGGGCCTGACCCAGACCCACCTGGGGCTCATCCTGGCGCACGCCACGCTGGGCACGCCGTTCGTCGTCATCACGGTGACGGCCACCCTGTCCGGCTTTGACACCAATCTGTATCGCGCGGCGGCCAGCCTCGGGGCCGGGCCGCTGCGGACGTTCCGGCGCGTCGTGCTGCCGCTGATCGCCCCGGGGGTGATTTCCGGCGCCCTCTTCGCCTTCGCCACCTCGTTCGACGAAGTGGTGACGGTGCTGTTCATGGGCGGCCTGGAACAACGCACCGTGCCGCGCCAGATGTGGACCGGCATCCGCGAGCAGATCAGCCCGGCGATTCTGGCCGTGGCGACCCTGCTGATCGTTTTCTCCCTATTGTTCATGCTGAGTGTGGAATGGCTGCGTCGGCGGGCGAGGGCTGATTAGGGGGCTGTAAAACGCGGTTTTTCAGTTCATGCAGATTGTGATTCACCCTACACTTTGGAGGTGTGGGGGTGGCGGTCAAACCATTTCTGATTTTCTGAAGCGCAGTTTGCTGGTGAAACCAGAGAGCCCAGAGCCACTTGCAAAACCCTAACGGAACGTCGAGAGCGAAGTTTTCGGATTTGATATTTGGGGATGTTTCGGCATCGGATACGTCGTCAGGGCATCTGCAGCACTTCTCAGCGGCCACAATCCAGCGACAATGAGGTTTCCTTGACGGTGTATGAGCAAACCTGTCCGGTGTGGCCCTGCCGAGACAGGACGCCTGCAAGAGGTGAGGGGTGGAAGCAAGTCGGTTTCAGTTCAACAGGCGCATCAACTGCGACACCGCCAGCGCCACAATGCCGAACATCAGGTGGCACAGCACCTTGGCGTGACCTCGCACGCGGACTTGGCGACCGCCGAACTCGTCCTTGAGACGACCCTTGACACGCTCGACGGTGGTGCGCTCACGGTAGCGTAACTGCTCGGCGTAGACGTGGCCGACGCTGCGCTGCGCCCGCGCCGCGGTCTTGCGTTCCAGCTTGCGCGAAGCACTGCGGGGATTGGCGTCGATGATTGCAACATGCCCCAGCGACTCACGGTGCGCTCTGATCTCGGGCGCGTCATAAGCCGAGTCCATCAGGTCATGGAGGTTGGTGACTCGTGCGGCCGTCAGGGTCGCCAGGGGAATCGCCACTTGGCTGTCATGCAACGAGGCCGAGGTCAGGATGCAACTGAGTGGAACGCCGCCATCGGCTGCGTCGACATGCAACTTGTAGCCGCTCCATGATTCCTGATGTCCCTTGGCGTCCCGCTTGACGCCAACATCACAGGTGCGTGGCAGGTCGGCGAGCCTCTCCGGCAGGATCATGTTGGACTGGCGCGCCAGCCTTCGGGGCGCCTTGTCCAGTCGTTGTTCAGCCTTGCGCGGTCGTCCGCGGCGGCGTTTCGGCGTAGCCGCTTGGTGCGGCTTCGGGGCTGGCTTCTCGCGCCCCAAAGATCGCCGTCGAATCGCGTCAGACGTGGCCGACCAGATGATCGCGCAAGGTCTTGTCGATCAGCGCCTCGTGCAGGCGGCTTGGCAAGGCGCTGTCAGCGAAGTCGCTGAAGGCCCGCGACAAGGTCGCCTCGCTGGGGACCGCCGCGCCCTGGCTCCAGCCGCACAGGCGACGCCGCGGCCGGTCGATGACAAGGCGCTCAACGAGCGCGCGGGTGGTCGAGATGGCGAACACCGCCTTGGCGCTGAAGGCTCGTGCCAGCGCCGCACGATCCGCCTGCGGGCGCCCCGGCAAGCCACGCCAGCACGTCAGGAATGGCTCAACCGGCACGAACCCGAGCACCGTGACGAATAACTCGTAGCGCTCGCCCAAGGGACCGAGTTCTTCTTCGAGCGTGGGGAAAAGCTCTCGTTGCAAGGCGAAGCCGTAATTCGATAGGATCGTACGCAGGGACATGGCCGTTTTCTCCTTCACGTGGTGGTCGCACAATACATGACATGAAGCAAAGACAGCCTGTCCCGTTTAAGTCAACCTCTTACCCTCAATAATTCCCGACGACTCCACAGTTTTGCAAAAGGCTCCCCTTTTTTCCAACCTGGGCAAAACCTCAGCAGGTGAGTATCCATGATCAGCTATACGCAGGCCGTGCAGACCATTATCCGCAACCTGCCGCAACCGCTGCCGGAGGAGCGATTGGCGCTGACGGCGGCCCATCAGCGCGTGTTGAGCCGGCCCCTGACCGCGCCGCACGACATGCCGCCGTTCGATCAATCCCTGATGGACGGCTACGCGCTGCGGAGCCGCGATATCTGCGCGACCGCCCCCGAGCGGCCCGTGCGCCTGACGCTGGGCGTAACGCTCACCGCGGGGGAGTATTTGGAGCAGCCGCTGAAGCCGCATCAGGCGGTGAGCATCATGACCGGGGCACCGATACCGTCTGGTGCCGACGCCGTCTTAAAGATGGAAGACAGTGAGGTGGAGGGCAGCGATTTGTTGGTCCGGCAGCCGCTTGGCAGGTGGGTGAACGTTCAGCGGCGCGGCGACGAGATTCGGCGCCGCACGGTTGTGCTGCCCCGGGGAGAGCGTCTGACGCCGCAGCGCATCGGCACGGCGTTAGCCCTCGGTGTCGCCAGCATCGATGTCGCACGGCGTCCGCGTCTGGCCCTGGTGGCACCCGGCGACGAGTTGCTGCCGCCCGGAGCGGCGTTGCAGCCGGCCAAGAAGTGGTGCAGCAACCTGTACGCCCTGGAGCTTCGAGCCCAGGAGTTGGGCTGCGCCAGCGTCAATCTGGGTATCGTGCCGGACACCCTCGGCAGCCTGGCGGAGGCATTGCGGCGCGGGCTGGAAAACGACATCGTCGTCATTCTCGGCGCCTCGGGACGCGGCCAGCATGATTTTGCCGCGCGCGCTATGACCGCTGTGGGGGCTGACATCCTGTTTCGCGGCGTCGCCGCCAATCCGGGCCGCGGCGTCACCGTTGCGCGCCACCGGCAAACGCTGATCATGGGCCTTCCCGGATCGCCTTGGGGTGCCTTTGTGGGGTTTGAAACCTTCGTGCGGCCCGCCATCCGAACGCTGTTGGGGCAACACCCCATTCCCCGCGGGCTCACGGCCACTGTCAGGGCCGCGGTGAAGGTACGGCCCGGCATGACGCACTTCTTTCCCTGCCGCCTGCAACCCGATTTCGAAGGCTGGCAGGCCACACTTCTGGGCAATTTGCTCGACCTGTCACGAGCCGATTCGCAGCCCCTTGGATTACTGGTCATGTCGCCGCATCGGCGGCTTCTGCGAGCCGGTTCAAGGGCACGAATCCAGCCCCTCACGATGGACTGATCAGGCGTTTATTGCAATTTGCAAATTTGCCTTGCACGATGTTTTCGTTGCGCATATCCTATGCGGCATGCCTGCATTGGCGAGGCCAGATTGTACCCTCCAACGACCTACAACCCATTGATTTATAAAGAGGTAATTCAGTGAACAGCGCAGTTCCTCCCGCCACTACCCTCCCCGCCCCTGATCCAACTTCTTCCGGGAATTCGACGCCTGCGAACGCCTCTCTTGGCCTGTCGATGCAGCGCTATTTCACCCATCCCGACGTGCATCCTTACGACGCCGTGGCGTGGAAAATCGTCACGCTTTGATTACCGGCGAAAATGGGCGTGCGGTGTTCGAACAGCGCGACGTGGAATTCCCCGAAACGTGGTCACAGTTGGCAACCAACGTGGTGGCCTCGAAGTACTTCCGCGGGCCGCTCGATTCCCCCCGGCGCGAACGCTCGGTACGCCAGGTGCTCGACCGAGTTGTCCGCACCATCACCACTTGGGGCGACGGCGACGGGTACTTTGCCAGCAAGCAGGATGCGGAAATTTTTTCGCATGAGTTGACCCACATTCTGCTGCACCAGAAGGCGTCGTTCAACTCTCCGGTGTGGTTCAACATCGGGGTGGAGGGCACGCCGCCGCAGGCGAGTGCCTGCTTCATCATTTCCGTGCACGACGACATGCACGCCATCCTGGATTGGTACCGGCAGGAAGGCGTCATTTTCAAAGGCGGCTCAGGGTCGGGCGTCAATCTCTCCCGCCTGCGGGCCACCGGCGAATCCCTTTCGGGCGGTGGCACGGCCTCCGGCCCGCTTTCCTTCATGCGGGCCGCAGACGCCTCCGCCGGCGCCATCAAATCCGGCGGCACGACGCGGCGCAGTGCCAAAATGGTGCTCCTCAACGCCGACCATCCCGACATCGAAGCCTTCATCCGCTGCAAGGCGGTTGAGGAAAAAAAGGCCCACTCGCTCATCGACGCCGGGTACGATGCTTCCCTGGACGGTGACGCTTACGGCACCGTCAGCTTCCAAAACGCCAACAACTCGGTGCGGGTGTCCGATGCGTTCATGCGCGCGGTGGCTGAAGACAACGAGTGGCAAACCCGTTATCGCATCTCCGGTGAGCCTGCCAAGACCTATCAGGCCCGCGACCTGCTGCGGCAGATCGCCGAGGCGACCTGGGCCTGCGGCGACCCCGGCATTCAGTTCGACGACACCATCAATAGCTGGCACACGTGTCCCGCCGCCGGACGCCAGGAGGCCACGAACCCGTGTGCGGAGTACTGCTGGATCAACGACAGCGCCTGCAACCTCTCCTCGCTCAACCTGATGCAATTCCTCGATGATGACGGGACGTTCGACATCGAAGCCTTCCGCCACACCGTGCACGTGATGATCCTGGCGCAGGAAATCCTCGTCGGCCACGCCAGCTACCCCACCCCGGCCATTGAGCGCAACAGCCACGACTACCGCACCCTGGGTCTCGGCTACGCCAACCTCGGGGCGCTGCTGATGGCCCGCGGCTTGCCCTACGACTCGGACGCGGGCCGCGCCTATGCCGGCACCGTCACCGCCCTGATGACCGGCCAGGCGTATCTGACCAGTTCGCAAATCGCCGCTGCGCAAGGACCCTTCGCCGGCTACGCGGACAGCCGCAAGCCCATGCTGAAGGTGATTAAGCGGCATCGGGAGAGTTACCACGGCACACAGCACGAATCCCTCCCGCCGCCGCTGCAGGAAGCCGCACAGCAGGTGTGGAGCGAGTGCTACGCTCACGGCAAGCAGCACGGCTACCGCAACGCGCAGGTAACCCTGTTGGCGCCCACCGGCACCATCGCGTTCATGATGGACTGCGATACCACCGGCATCGAGCCCGACCTGGCGCTGGTGAAATACAAGAAGCTCGTCGGCGGCGGCGAGCTGAAGATCGTCAACAACACGGCCCCGCGCGCCCTGACCTGCCTCGGCTACACGCCGCAGCAGATCGACAACCTCGTACAATACATTGACGAGCACGGCACCATGGAAGGCGCGCCCGACCTCCAGGAGGACCATCTGCCGGTCTTTGACTGCGCCTTTCCCGCCATGCCCGGGGGCCGCTCGATTCATTACAGCGGGCACCTGCGCATGGTGGCGGCGGTGCAGCCGTTCCTGTCGGGGTCGGTGTCGAAGACGATCAACGTGCCCAACCAGGCCACGGTGGCCGACATCGAGCAGGCGTACATCGACGCCTGGGGCCTCGGCATCAAGTGCGTCGCCATCTATCGCGACGGCTGCAAGCGCACCCAGCCACTCAACACCAAGGCGGCCGAACCGGAAACCGCAGCGGCACCGAGCAGGCCCATGCGGCGGCGGCTGCCGGACGAGCGTCCGGCCATCACCCACAAGTTCTCGATTGCAGGGCACGAAGGCTATATCACGGTTGGCATGTTCGAGGATGGGACGCCCGGCGAAATTTTCCTGGTCATGGCCAAGGAGGGCAGCACCATCTCCGGGCTGATGGATGCCTTCGCCACCTCGATTTCGCTGGCTTTTCAGTACGGCGTGCCGCTGCGGGCGTTGATCGACAAGTTTAGCCACATGCGCTTCGAGCCTGCCGGGTTCACCCAAAACACCGAGATTCCCATCGCCAAGTCGGTGATGGATTACATCTTCCGCTGGCTGGCCTCCAAATTCCTCGATCAGGAAGAACGCGCCCAAATCGGTGTCATCGACCGGGACGGCCTGGAGCAGGCCGCCGAACCGGTGACACCCAAGGAGGCAACGAACGGCCACCACACGCCCTTGGGGACCACCGAGAAGCCCTATTACTTCCGGCTGCAGGAAGACGCCCCCTCATGCGCCGACTGCGGCGCCCTGATGATCCGCAACGGCTCGTGCTACAAATGCACCAATTGCGTGCCACCAGCGGGTGTTCGTAAAGGCTTTCAGGAGGTATGATCGTGATATGTCATGACAATCCATGCAGGTTTGTTGGCCAGCAGCTCGCAGATGGGCAAGAACATTTTCGCTACTTTCAGGTTCGCAACTGTGCTGAAAAAAAGACATGCGGTCATATTCACCCACAACAATTGGAGGCGGAAGATTGCAAAGACAAACATAATCCATGCGACGGGTGGGGAGGTGAGAATCTACACAGAGTTTTCCGTACGAGAAGACCCTTAAACGTTGTTAGGGCCTGTTGACATTCACATAGTCTCTCGGCTGTAATGGAAGGGAATACAACCCCAATCCATACCAGCCAAGAGGAGGTGGGCGCATGGTGCGAAGAATCCTCAGCGACTCGCAATGGGCGCGTGTGGCGCTGCTGTTACCCGGAAAGGACGGCGATCCTGGACGATCCGCAAGAGACAATCGGGAGTTCCTCGAAGCCGTTTTGTGGATTGCTCGTACCGGTTCGCCGTGGCGTGACTTGCCCGACGAGTTCGGGCTGTGGAACTCGGTCTTTCAACGCTTCCGCAGGTGGGCACTCAAAGGCGTCTTCGAGCGCGTTTTCAAGGTCTTGTCGGTCGATGCCGACTTCGAGTACGTGCTCATCGACGGCACCATCGTGCGCCTCCATCAACACGGTGCCGGGGCAAAAGGGGGACCCAAAGCCAAGCCATCGGTCGCTCGCGAGGGGGGCCAAGCACGAAGATCAGCGTGATGGTCGACGCCCTGGGCAACTTGGTGGATTTTGTGCTGCTGCCGGGCCAGCGCCATGATTTGATCGGTGTTGCTGCCTTGCTTGATGGCGTCGAGTTCGAGGCGCTGATTGCAGACCGGGCCTACGACAGCAACGCCCTGCGCGACGAGTTGAAAGAGCGCGGTGCGACGGCGGTGATTCCCCCCAGATCGAATCGCGTCGATGAGATCGACTACGACCGGGAGATGTACAAGTGGCGTCATCTGGTGGAGAATTTCTTTTGTAACCTCAAGCAGTTCCGTCGTCTTGCGATGCGTTTTGAGAAGACGGATGTGAGCTACGCCGCGATGATACATGTGGTGAGTTCTCGCTTGGCACTTGCCTAAATGTCAACAGGCCCTAGCAAACTGCACTCGTAACGGAAAGATTGTCTGGGGAGCCTTTTGCAAAACTGTGGAGTCGTCGGGAATTATTGAGGGTAAGAGGTTGACTTAAACGGGACAGGCTGTCTTTGCTTCATGTCATGTATTGTGCGACCACCACGTGAAGGAGAAAACGGCCATGTCCCTGCGTACGATCCTATCGAATTACGGCTTCGCCTTGCAACGAGAGCTTTTCCCCACGCTCGAAGAAGAACTCGGTCCCTTGGGCGAGCGCTACGAGTTATTCGTCACGGTGCTCGGGTTCGTGCCGGTTGAGCCATTCCTGACGTGCTGGCGTGGCTTGCCGGGGCGCCCGCAGGCGGATCGTGCGGCGCTGGCACGAGCCTTCAGCGCCAAGGCGGTGTTCGCCATCTCGACCACCCGCGCGCTCGTTGAGCGCCTTGTCATCGACCGGCCGCGGCGTCGCCTGTGCGGCTGGAGCCAGGGCGCGGCGGTCCCCAGCGAGGCGACCTTGTCGCGGGCCTTCAGCGACTTCGCTGACAGCGCCTTGCCAAGCCGCCTGCACGAGGCGCTGATCGACAAGACCTTTGCGCGATCATCTGGTCGGCCACGTCTGACGCGATTCGACGGCGATCTTGGGGCGCGAGAAGCCAGCCCCGAAGCCGCACCAAGCGGCTACGCCGAAACGCCGCCGCGGACGACCGCGCAAGGCTGAACAACGACTGGACAAGGCGCCCCGAAGGCTGGCGCGCCAGTCCAACATGATCCTGCCGGAGAGGCTCGCCGACCTGCCACGCACCTGTGATGTTGGCGTCAAGCGGGACGCCAAGGGACATCAGGAATCATGGAGCGGCTACAAGTTGCATGTCGACGCAGCCGATGGCGGCGTTCCACTCAGTTGCATCCTGACCTCGGCCTCGTTGCATGACAGCCAAGTGGCGATTCCCCTGGCGACCCTGACGGCCGCACGAGTCACCAACCTCCATGACCTGATGGACTCGGCTTATGACGCGCCCGAGATCAGAGCGCACCGTGAGTCGCTGGGGCATGTTGCAATCATCGACGCCAATCCCCGCAGTGCTTCGCGCAAGCTGGAACGCAAGACCGCGGCGCGGGCGCAGCGCAGCGTCGGCCACGTCTACGCCGAGCAGTTACGCTACCGTGAGCGCACCACCGTCGAGCGTGTCAAGGGTCGTCTCAAGGACGAGTTCGGCGGTCGCCAAGTCCGCGTGCGAGGTCACGCCAAGGTGCTGTGCCACCTGATGTTCGGCATTGTGGCGCTGGCGGTGTCGCAGTTGATGCGCCTGTTGAACTGAAACCGACTTGCTTCCACCCCTCACCTCTTGCAGGCGTCCTGTCTCGGCAGGGCCACACCGGACAGGTTTGCTCATACACCGTCAAGGAAACCTCATTGTCGCTGGATTGTGGCCGCTGAGAAGTGCTGCAGATGCCCTGACGACGTATCCGATGCCGAAACATCCCCAAATATCAAATCCGAAAACTTCGCTCTCGACGTTCCGTTAGGGTTTTGCAAGTGGCTCAAGGGGTCTCACTATATCCAAGCGGCGCCGCGCCGGGCAAGTCGTCCGGTCTGGAAACGGAGCCAGTCAAACGTTATAGTGGTACGTTCATTTCTTACCTAATCGTAAACAGGAAGACACGTGCCGCAGGGGCGTTGGTACAACGCCGATGTTGGATGAAGGAGACGTCGAATATGGCCGAGACACAGTTTACCTTGAAGACGGGCTTGGCGGAGATGCTCAAGGGGGGCGTCATCATGGACGTCACCACTGCCGACCAGGCCAAGATTGCTGAAGATGCGGGTGCGGTAGCCGTCATGGCGTTGGAGCGCGTGCCGGCGGATATCCGGGCACAAGGCGGCATCGCGCGCATGGCCGATCCGACGAAAATCCGCGAGATCATGGCGGCGGTGTCGATTCCCGTGATGGCCAAGGCGCGCATCGGGCACTTTGCGGAAGCCCAGATTCTGCAGGCGCTGGGCGTCGACTACGTTGACGAGAGCGAAGTGCTGACGCCGGCGGATGAAGCCCATCACATTGATAAATTCGCGTTTCGCGTGCCCTTCGTCTGCGGGGCGCGCAATTTGGGCGAGGCGCTGCGCCGCATTGCCGAGGGCGCGGCCATGATCCGAACCAAGGGGGAGGCGGGCTCCGGCAACGTCGTCGAGGCCGTGCGCCACATGCGCGCCGTGCAGGGCACCATGCGCAAGCTGACGATCCTGGGTGACGAGGAACTGATGGCGGCCGCCAAGGAACTCGAGGCCCCCTACGAGCTCGTCAAGATGGTGGCGCAAACCGGCAAGCTGCCGGTGCCGAACTTTGCCGCCGGCGGGGTGGCGACGCCGTCCGACGCCTCGCTCATGATGCAACTCGGCGCCGAGTCGGTCTTCGTGGGCTCGGGTATTTTCAAGTCGGGCGACCCGCCGCGCCGCGCCGACGCCATCGTGCAGGCGACTACGCACTACCTCGACGCCGACCTGCTGGCGCGCGTGTCCGAAGACCTCGGCGAGGCCATGGTGGGGATCGACATCAGCCGCCTGGACGACAGCGAGTTGTTGCAGACACGAGGCTGGTGATTCGACATGGCGTGTGTCGGCCTCCTGGCCCTGCAAGGCGATTTCGCCGCACACAAAAAGATTCTTGGCGAACTGGGGGTCGAGTCGAAACTCGTCAAGAAACCCGCCGACCTCGCCGGCGTTGAGGGACTCATCATTCCAGGCGGGGAAAGCACGACGCTGCTCAAACTCATGGCCCCAGTGGCGATGCGCCCCGCGCTTGAGCAATTCCATGCCCAAGGCCGACCCATCTTCGGAACCTGCGCGGGCCTCATCCTGCTGGCGCAGGAGACCCTGCCGCGTCAAGAGAGTCTGGGATTCATCGATATTGTGGTGAGGCGTAACGCCTACGGCAGGCAGATTGACAGCTTTGTGGCGCTGGGAACGCCGCTGACGGACGACCTGAGCGCCGAACCCCTGGAGATGGTGTTCATCCGCGCTCCGAAGATCGCCCAGATCAATTCCGGGGTGACACCCTTGGCCGAGTGCCGGGGCAAGGTCGTACTGGCTCGGCAGGGCAGTGTCCTCGTTTCCTCCTTCCACCCCGAGCTCACGCAAGACCGCCGCGTGCATCAATACTTCCTGCAGATGCTCGCGGCGGGATAAAAGCGTAACCGCCGACGCCTTGCGAAACGCGCCGGCGGTCCACACAGCGGATTAGTACATACCACCCATTCCGCCCATGCCGCCCATGCCGTCCATGCCGCCACCCGGCATGGCAGGCGCCTTCTCTTTCTCGGGCAGCTCAGTGATCAGGGCTTCCGTGGTCATCAACAGACCGGAAATGCTGGCCGCGTTCTGCAAGGCCGTCCGGGTCACCTTGGTCGGGTCGATGATGCCCTTTTCCAGCATGTCGCCGTAGACGTCGTTGCCGGCGTCGTAACCCTCGTTGTTCTTGAGGTCGCGAACCTTCTGCACGACGATCGAGCCTTCGGCACCGGCGTTGGCCGCGATGTGCCGCAGTGGCTCTTCCAGGGCCCGGCGCACGATGCGGGCGCCCAGCCGCAGATCGCCTTCAAGGTCGTCGGCGAACGCATCGAGGGCCGGGATGGCGCGCAGGTACACGACACCGCCGCCAGGCACAACGCCTTCCTCGACGGCCGCGGGTGGCGTTCAGGGCGTCCTCGACGCGGGCCTTCTTCTCTTTCATCTCCGCCTCAGTAGCGGCGCCGACATTAATCACCGCCACCCCGCCGACCAGCTTCGCCAAGCGCTCCTGCAGCTTCTCGCGGTCGTAGTCGGACGTGGTTTCCTCGATCTGGGTGCGAATCTGATTCACCCGCCCCTCGATCTCGGAGCCCTCACCCGCACCCTCGACGATGGTGGTGTTTTCCTTGTCGATGGTGATGCGCTTGGCCTGGCCGAGGTCGTTCAGGGTGATGTTTTCGAGCTTGATGCCCAGGTCCTCAGAGATCACGTTGCCGCCGGTGAGGACGGCGATGTCCTTGAGCATTTCCTTGCGCCGGTCGCCAAAGCCGGGGGCCTTGACCGCCGCGCCCTGCAGCGTACCGCGCAGCCGGTTCACCACCAGGGTGGCGAGGGCCTCGCCCTCAACGTCCTCGGCGATGACCAGGAAGGGGCGGCTCATCTTGGCGATCTGCTCCAGGATGGGCAGGAGCTCGCGCATGTTGCTGATCTTCTTTTCGTGCAACAGGATGTAGGCGTTCTCGAGATTCGTTTCCATGCGCTCGGCATCGGTCACGAAGTAGGGGGAGAGATAGCCGCGGTCAAACTGCATGCCCTCGACGATGTCCAGCGAGGTCTCCATGCTCTTGGCTTCTTCGACCGTGATGACGCCATCCTTGCCGACTTTCTCCATGGCCTCGGCGATGAGGTCGCCGATGGTGGGGTCGTTGTTGGCCGAGATGGTGCCGACCTGGGCGATTTCTTTCTTGTCCTTGGTTGGGCGGCTGAGCCTTTTGACCTCTTCCACGACGGCCTCAACACCGCGCTCGATACCGCGCTTCAGTTCCATCGGATTGGCGCCCGCGGTGACGTTCTTGACGCCTTCGCGGAAGATCGACTGGGCCAGCACCGTTGCGGTGGTGGTGCCGTCGCCGGCCACGTCGCTGGTCTTGCTGGCGACCTCGCGCAGCATCTGGGCGCCCATGTTTTCAAACGGGTCTTGCAACTCGATTTCCTTGGCAACCGTCACGCCGTCCTTGGTGGACACCGGGGAGCCGAATTTCTTGTCGATGACGACGTTGCGGCCCTTCGGGCCCAGCGTCGCCTTGACGGCTTCAGCCAACTGATCGACACCGCGCAGCACGGCGCTGCGCGCATCAGAACTGTACAGAATCTGCTTGGCAGGCATAGAATCGAACCTCCTTGTTGGATATCAGAACCTATTCCAAAACGCCTAAGACGTCGTCTTCACGAATGATCAAATACTCTTCACCGTCAAGCTTCACTTCCGTGCCGGCGTACTTGCCGAAGATGACCTTGTCACCCTCTTTGACGTCCATGGCCTGCACCTTGCCATCGTCGGAGACGCGACCGGGACCGGCGGCCAGAACCTTGGCCTGCTGCGGTTTCTCCTTCGCGGTGTCCGGGATGATGATGCCGCCCTGGACCTCTTCTTCTTCTTCCTCCAACCGCTGAACCAGAATGCGGTCGTGCAAGGGACGTAAGCCCATAAGTCCTCTCCTTCCGTCTGATTGTCGTGATTATGTACGTGTCGCGCCTGGGCGCTTCAGCGTATTGGCACTCACCTGTATTGAGTGCTAATAAAGCTATTAAATTCTTCTAGGGTTTGCAAGAGGACAGGTATTTTTTGTGGTTTGGCCCTACCCGGCTCGTGCTATGGTTGGGTGCTAAACCATATCCGTGCATGGTTGAGGACGCAGGACGTGTCATGAACCAGTTGGAAGGCAAGAAGACGGTTCTCGCGGTCACCGGAGGCATCGCCGCCTTCAAGGCGTTGGGGGCGTTGCGCCTGCTGAAGAAGCAGGGGGCTGACGTGTACGTCGTCATGACCGATCATGCCGCCGAGTTTATGGCGCCGGCCGGCTTCGCTATGCTCTCCGGGCATCCGGTCAGCCTGGACCAGTTTGCGCCGGCGCACGGTTGGCAGATGGAGCACTTGGCCCTCGCGCAGGGTACGGACCTCGTCCTGGTGGCGCCGGCAACGGCCAACGCCATCGCCAAACTCGCCACCGGCATCGCGGACGATTTGTTCAGCACGCTGTTTGTGGCCCTGGGGCAACGGGTTCCCACTTTCCTGGCACCGGCGATGAACCCCCTCATGTACGGCAATGCCGTTGTGCAGGCACATCTCGACACCCTGCGCGGGCGGGGCATTCAAATCATTGAGCCACGATACGGTCAATTGGCAAGTACAAAGGAAGGGGAGGGGGTCGGAAGGCTGGCAGAACCGGAAGAGATCGTCGCCGAGGTACTAGCTCACTTGCAGCGGGGCGATGCCTGAAGCCGGCGCGGCGGCCTGAAGGGTTAAACTTCTTCGTTCAGCAACACGTCAACGTCGGCGCCTGAAATCATCGTAATGGTGTCCCAGGGGCACTCTTTGGCGCAAATGGTACATCCCGTGCACACGTCCCAATCGACGATGACGACCTCGTGGGTGCCGTCGCCGGCGTAGGAGGGATCGGCAATTTTATCAATGCAATCGACCGGACAAAAATCAACGCACCATTCACAACCGGTGCAACCATCGACATCAATCCAGGCTTTAGGCCGCGGTTTGCGCGCCCGCCTCGCTCGCTCCGCCACTACGTTTCTCCATGTATTGGGTCGGCTCTTGACGTTTACTGCTGAACCGGGCCATTCTAGCGGCCTCGCCGGGCCATTGCAACAGGCGCGGGAGGCGCTGGCAGCACGAGCGCGGCACCCGGAACGGAGGGCGGCGTGATGCGGGCTGTGGTGCAACGGGTCTCGAAGGCCCGGGTCGACGTGGATGGCGAAACAGTGGGTGCCGTCGAGCAGGGCCTGCTGGTACTCTTGGGCGTGCAAACGCCGGATACGGAGCGGGATGCTGATTATCTGGCAGCGAAGATCGTCACGCTGCGGATTTTCAACGACGCGCAGGGCAAGATGAACCGCGACGTGCAGGACGTTCAGGGCGGCGTGCTGGTCGTGTCGCAGTTCACCTTGTACGGCGACACCCGCAAAGGGCGCCGCCCGTCGTTCGTTCAGGCGGCACCACCGGAACAGGCCGAACATCTTTACGAATACTTCCTCGAAGCCACCGCCCGGCACGGCGTGCCCGTCGCGCACGGCGTTTTTGGCGCCCACATGCAGGTGCACTTGGTCAACGATGGACCGGTGACACTGCTCCTCGACAGCCCTGGTAGCGGCTGAGTCAATGGCAGAACGCATTGCATAAGGAAACGGGAGGGACCCCATGGATACCAGCAGTATCCCACAGGTGTTTTTCGACCGTGCCGCCCAGCGCGGCGGGAAAACGGCCCACTTGGTCAAGCGGGACGGAGTTTGGCGTGAGATTTCCTGGCAGGAGTTGCGGGACCTCGTGCGCCAAGTCGCCAGAGGCCTGCTGACGCTGGACCTGCAGGCGGGCGACCGCGTTGCCATCCTGTCCGACAGCCGGGCGGAATGGGTGCAGTGCGACCTTGGCATCATGGCCGCGGCGGGCATTACGGTGCCGATCTACGCCTCCTCAACGCCCGATCAGGCCGCCTACATTCTGCAAAACTCCGGTGCGACGGCGATGTTCATTGATACGTCCGCGCAACTCGACAAGGTCCTGGCCGTTCGCGATCAGGTCCCGACCCTGAAGCACATCGTCATGGTGGCGGATGACCCGCCGGGCGCCGATGATTCTATCCTGACGCTTGCCGACCTGATTCAAAGAGGCCGCGACGCCGCCGATCAGGAAGCCGTTCTCGAAGAGCGCCTGCAAGGCCTGACGCCGGAACACGAGGCCACCTACGTTTATACCTCGGGCACCACGGGGCCGCCCAAGGGGGTCGTGCAAACCCACGGCAACCACCTGTTCATGATGGAGAGTTGCGGCGCGATCACCGACCTTGGCGAGGGCGACGTTAATCTGCTTTTTCTTCCTCTGGCGCATTCGTTCGCGCGCCTCGAATCCTTCCTCGGCTTTTACAAGGGCTGGACCACCGCCTTCGCGGAAAGCATCGACGCATTGTCGCAGAACATGCGCGAAGTCCGGCCCATGCTGGTGATGAGTGTGCCGCGGGTCTATGAAAAGGTTTACGCCAGCGTGCAAGCCGGTGCTGCCGGGTCGCCCGTCAAGCGAGCCATCTTCAACTGGTGCGTCGGCGTCGGGCGACAGGCCAGTCGCCTGCAGCAACAGGGCCAGCTGCTGCCGCTGGGCCTCAGCCTGAAAAGACACTTGGCACACCGGCTGGTGTTCGGGAAACTCCACGAAGCGCTCGGCGGGCGGTTGCGCTACTTCGTGTCCGGCGGCGCACCGCTGGCGCGGGAAATCGCCGAGTTCTTTCACGCTGCCGGCCTGCTCATCCTGGAAGGCTACGGTCTCACGGAGACCTGCCCGGCACTGACCGCCAATCGACACGACAACTACAAATTTGGCACTGTTGGCCTGCCGGTGCCGGGTGTGGAACTGCGCCTCAGCGACGACGACGAAATCCTGGCGCGCGGGCCGAACATTGCCAGTGGCTACTACCAGCGGCCGGAGGCGACGGCGGAGGTGTTTCTTGATGATGGCTGGTTCGCCACCGGGGACATCGGCGAGATCGATGCGGATGGCTTTCTGCGCATCACCGATCGCAAGAAGGACCTCCTGGTTACGGCCGGCGGCAAGAACGTGGCGCCGCAAAACATCGAGAATCTGCTCAAGGGCGATCCGCTCATCAGCCAGGCGATGGTCTATGGCGACCGCCGCCCCTTTCTGACCGCCGTGCTCACCCTCGACGTGGAGTCCGCGACGGCCTATGCCCGGGAGTTGGGCATCAGCGGCGACACGGTTGCTGAGTTGGCCGAAAACCCGCAAATCCGCACCCTGCTGGAGGGCCGTGTGGAACGGGTCAACCAGCGCTTGGCGCCGTATGAGTCGATCAAGAAGTTTGTGATTGCGCGGGAGGATTTTACGGAGGCAAGCAACGAATTGACGCCGACGTTGAAGGTCAAACGGCAGGTGGTGACGCAGAAATATCAGGCTGAACTCGATCAGCTCTATTGATCTCGGGGAGGCGTGCGGAAGCGCCTAACGCTTGTCCAACTCCAGCTCGTAGAGCTTCTGGTACATCACGTCCCATTCCCGGCTGCCTTCCACGACCCGGCGCGTATAGGACGCCAAGGTTTGCCGGACGGCGAAGTCGACTTCCTCTTCGAGCCGGAGCGCTTCCTGGATGGCGCCCACGATCTGCAGCCGCACGGTGTTGGAGGGCATGCGGAGCGTCACCTCCGGCATTTCCTCCAGCCTCCGCACGAGGAGTTGTGAAAGATGGTTGACTTTTTCCCGTGAGAGGCTCATCGGTCTTCTTCCCCCGCTCTGAGCGGCCCGCCTACAAGATCAGCCCTCGGTCTCGCACAAGTTGGCGTTTGACCATGGAAAACATGCGCGAGTAGTCGATGTTGCCGCGGTCCATCTCGTTGATATGGGCTTCCAGGATGTCTCTTACCTCGTCGTTGAGGCGATCCTCAACCATAAGATCGTTGACGATCAGCCGGCCTACTTCCTCGGGTTACGGCACGCGGGTCCACCTCGAGCTCCAGCATGTCTTTCCGGGTCAACACGTCCGTGATGGTCTTGGCGACGTGGTCGATCATTTTCCTGCCCAGTCGCATACCCGTCCTCCTTCGCATATCCAGCAGATTCCAGGGAATGATATGTTGCGGACAACGCAAGTTCAAGCGCGTACGCGGCGAGTGGCGACTGCTTGCAAACCCTTTATGGATTGCCTACTATGCGGCCCAACTCCGGTTGGCGGTGTTTACGACGGGAGCGCACGTGCTGGATTGTGAGCGACAAATCCGCCCTGAGACCACGGGCCCTGCCGTGGCGAGGTCATTGACGATGAAAATCGACGATACGGTAAACAGAATGGTCATGGTGATGATATTCCATCACGAGGGGCTGGAGGCGGCAGGCATCAAGGAGCGCAAGTTCTACGCCAAAGTGGTGGGGCGTGACTCCATCGGTCTGTGGATCGAAAACCCCAAGCTGGAGACCACCCGCGTGCGCTACGACAACGGCCTCCTCATCCCGCCGGACCAACGCCAGCACGAGGAGCACCTCGCCTACGTACTGATTCCCTGGGGCAACATCCGCTCCGTTGCCCACTTTCCGGCCCGCGAGGACTTTGACGACACCGAGGACGAGGAAGCCAGCGCACTGGGCCGCGGCATGTATCTGTAAGTTCTGTTCCTGCCCTGACAATGCCGGGGCGGTATGCTACCATCGACCTTTCCCATTCACACCATGCCAAGGGTCGCACGGATCGCAACGCAGCAAGGAGAACCTTCATGAGCCAAGGCTACCACTTCACCATCTGGAGTTGTTACGTTTGACCATACGCTTGGCGAGCCGCGGAGTGGCTCGATCGCGTGAAAGACAAATTGGGCGAAAACCTGAAAATTACCTGGAAGTCGTTTCTGCTTGAGCAAGTCAACAGTCGCCGTGGGCTGGAGTGGAAAGCCTGGGATGACTCCCGTTTCACCAGCCGCGACATCCCGCCGCATGAGGCCGCCAAGAGCATTCTGGCCGAGCAGGGCGAGGACGCTTTCAACAGGTTCCATATTGCCGTGTTCCGGGCGCATCACCAGCAAAAGCGGGACATTGCCAATCCCCTCGAACTGATGCAGTTGGCCCGCGAGGTCGATGTTGACCCCCCCACCGTGTTGGCCGAGGACCTGCGCACCCGCAAGTACCGTGCTGCCGTCGGCGCCGACCATCAGGAATCGGACGAGCACGACATTTTTGGCGTACCGACTATCCTCTTCGACGGCTATCAGCCCACCTTCATCAAGCTCGATTCCGGGGCATGGGAAGGGCCGGACGACGTGGAACTTTTCCACGCGCTGTACAACATTGCCGCCCCGCGTCCGTACGTCATGGAGATCAAGAAACCCGCCTCGGCGACGGTCGCTGCCGCTTCGGAGGCGCGCCGCCGTACGGATGAGGGACGCTAGGCGGCTTAACGGCCGTGCCGGCAGGAGGGCCGCTCCGAGGGCCCTCTGCTGGCTTTGAATTAGGCAGGCAGAAAGGTCGATTGTGGCCGAATCGCTGGACTCGTATTACCCCGTGGAAATTCAGCGCGATGACGGCGGCGCCCTGCGCATCCTGTGGAACGACGGGCGTGCCTGCTTCTATAAATACAGCAATCTGCGCCGCGTCTGCCCCTGCGCCACCTGTGGCGAACTGCGCACCCAACAGCAGGAAGCCGCCAAAAATCCCTTCCAGACCGTGACCACCGTCACCACCCAAGACGTGCAGCCGGTGCACCTGAACACCGTAGGCCATTACGCCCTCGGCATCGAGTGGGACGACGGCCACCGCACCGGCATCTACCCTTGGGCCATGCTGCGGGCGCTCTGCGAAGACGACGACTAGACCGACCACCCCACCCCGTCCGGTCCTCATACCGGCTTCTTACGCATCAAGCCCGCTCGGCGAATTCGTGCCACCAGTTCCTCGCGTTGGTTGGCGGCGCGGTGCTCGAAAAACACCACCCCGGCGTCCGGACGCGACCGCGATTCCCGTTTGTCCATGACTTCCGTCTCGATATACAGCGTATCGCCGTGGAACACGGGTTTCGGGAATTCGATCTTGTCAAATCCCAGATTGGCCACCGTCGTCCCCAGCGTCGTATCTCCCACCGACAGCCCCACAGCAATCCCCAGCGTCAACAGGCTGTTGACCAGCCGCTGCCCGAATTCCGTCTGACTGGCAAATGCCGCGTCCAGGTGAAGCGGCTGCGGGTTCATCGTCATGGTGGTGAACAGCACGTTGTCCGCCTCCGTCACCGTGCGCCCGGGCTGGTGCCTGAACACCTGCCCAACGGTAAATTCCTCGAAATACAATCCAGCCATTACCAAGGGTCTCCTTCCGCCTGTTGGGTATGATTGCCGACCGCAGGCATGGTATCGGAACCCGATCCTGGATACCATGCCTGGAAAAGGGGGATGATCCTGTGAACCAAAAAGCCATCTTTTCCAGCTATTTCAAGGACCTTCGCCACGATTGCGCGGCAAGGCGACGCGCGAGAGGAGAGCTTCTACCCAGCCTTGGCGACGATGCTCAAAGAGGTCGCCGATAACAGCGGCCGACAGCACGTTCACGTCACCACTCTGCCCAAACCGACCGAGGGCGGGAATCCGGATTTCCGGTTGTGGAACGGCACCGATCGCATCATCGGCTACGTCGAGGCCAAGCGGCCGACCGAAGAGCGCCTGGACGACGTCGAAAATTCCGAGCAGTTGCGGCGCTACCGATCGACCTTCCCGAATCTGCTGCTCACCAACTTTCTGGAGTTCCGCCTGTACCGCAACGGGGTGCGGGAGCAGACGGTTCTGGCCGCCCGCCCCCTGGTACTCAACCAGTTGCAAACGGCGCCGCCGGTTGAACGGCCGGAAGAGCTTTCAGTCCTCCTTGAGCGCTTCCTTGGTTTTGCCCTGCCCAAGATGTTCACCGCCGAATCCCTCGCCGTGGAGTTGGCCAAGCGCACGCGCCTGCTTCGGGATGTCGTCCGGAACCAGTATGACAACGAAGCAGACAACCCCGGCATGCTGCGCGGCTTCTTCGACGCCTTCCGGGAATACCTCATCGGCTCGCTGACACCGGAGACGTTCGCCGACCTGTTTGCGCAGACTATCACCTACGGTCTCTTTGCGGCCCGCATCCGCGCCGGGGAGGGCTTCAATCGCCGCGCCGCGTTCGACAACATTCCCCACACCATCGGCGTCCTGCGCGACATGTTCCGCTTCATCTCGCTGGGCGATCTGTCGGAACCGCTCGCCTGGTGCGTAGACGACCTCGCCGAAGTCCTGGCCGTGGCCGACGGTCCAGGCATTCTCGGCCGCTACTACCGGGAGGGCAAGGGCAGCGACCCCATCGTGCATTTCTACGAGACGTTTCTGGCGCAGTACGACCCCGACGAGCGCGAGCGGCGCGGCGTCTACTACACCCCCGAACCGGTGGTCGGCTACATCGTCCGTTCCCTGCACGGCGTGCTCAAGACTGAGTTCGGTCTGCGCGACGGCTTGGCCTCGGAGGGCGTGACGCTGCTCGATCCCGCGGCGGGTACCATGACCTTCGTGGCCCGTGCCGCCCAAGAGGCGGTTGCCGAGTTTGAAACCAAGTACGGCAGCGGCGGCAAGGCAGACTTCATCCGCCAGCACGTCCTCAAGAACTTCTACGCCCTCGAACTGATGATGGCGCCCTACGCGGTCGGCCACCTCAAGATGAGCTTCTTCCTGGAAGAGCTCGGCCACCGCCTGGAAGACGACGAGCGCATGCCGTTCTACCTCACCAACACCCTGGACTGGAAGGAACTGGAGGAAAGCCGCTTGCCCGGCATTTCGGCTCTGGCCGCCGAGTCCCGCCTGGCAGGCGCGGTGAAGAAGGAAAAGCCGGTCCTGCTCATCCTCGGCAATCCGCCCTATTCGGGGCACTCCAGCAACAAGGGCGACTGGATACGCGGCCTGATCGACGACTACAAGCAGGTGGACGGCCGGCCGCTGGGCGAGAAAAACCCGAAATGGCTGCAGAACGACTACGTCAAGTTCCTGCGCTACGCCCAGTGGAAAATCGAGCAAACCGGACGCGGCGTTGTCGGCATGATCACCGACCACAGCTACCTCGACGGCCCCACCTTCCGCGGCATGCGTTATAACCTGCTGCGAGTCTTTGACGACATCTACATTCTCGACCTGCACGGCAACGCCCGAAAGAAGGAAACCGGCCCGGATGGCAGCCCGGACCAGAGCGTCTTCGACATCATGGAGGGGGTGGCCATTGCCTTCTTCGTGAAGCGTGGCGATTCAACACCGGACGGCCGGGGCGACAACGCCGTGGTGCATCACGCCGGGCGTTTCGGGAGCCGTGGAAGCAAATACGACTGGCTGCACGCGCACGACCGGGACAGCACCGAGTGGCAGGCGCTGAATCCCGCGTCGCCGCACTACCTGTTCGTGCCGCGTGACGAGGCGCTCGAGGCCGCTTACAACCGGTTCATGCCGGTGACCGAGGTCTTCCCCGTGCACAGCGTCGGCATCGTGACGGCGCGCGACGGCCTGACGATTCGCTGGTCCGCGGACGAGGTGTGGAACACGGTGACCGTTTTTTCGCGGATGGAGCCGGAGTTAGCTCGGCAAGGGTACGAGCTTGGCAATGATGCGCGGGACTGGAAAGTGACGTTGGCGCAGCAGGATTTGCGCGATTCGGGGCCTGCCCGCGAACGGGTGGTGCCGATCCTGTACCGGCCCTTTGACGTGCGCCACACGTATTACACCGGACATTCGCGCGGGTTCATCTGCATGCCGCGTCCCGAGGTCATGCGCCACATGCTGGCCGGGGAGAACCGGGCGCTGCACGTCTGCCGGCAAACGGTCAGCGAAACGTGGCAGCATTGCCTGGTTACGAATGGTCTCACGGATGATTGTTACGTGTCCAACAAGACCCGAGAGCGCGGATATACCCTTCCCTTGTATCTCTATCCCACTGCCGACCGCGGTGACCTCTTTGCAAGGCTCGAGTCGTCCGCCCGACAGCCCAACCTGAATCCCAAGCTGGTCGTGGCCCTGACCGCAGCGCATGGCCAAACACCCGCGCCCGAGGATGTCCTCCACTACATCTACGCCATCCTGTACGCCCCAATCTATCGCGCCGCGTACGCCGAGTTTCTGCGCACCGACTTCCCGCGCGTTCCGTTCACGAAGGATCGCGTCGTGTTTACCCAAGTCGCGGCCTTGGGCGCGCGATTGACTGGCCTGCACCTCTTGGACTCCCCCGAACTCGACACACCGACCTGCCGCTTCGAGGGCGACGGCGATGCCGTGGTGGTCCGAACGAAGACGCAGGGCTTTCGCTACGACTTGGACGCCCAGCGCGTGTACATCAACAAAACTCAGTATTTCGGTCCCGTCTCGCCGGAGGTCCATGATTACCGCATCGGCGGCTACCAAGTCTGCGACAAATGGCTGAAAGACCACAAGGACCGCCGCCTCGACCTCGACGACATCCGTACCTACTGCTGGATGGTGACGGCCATCGGGATGACGCTCAGGATTCAGGAATTGGTAGACGATTTGTATCCTGAGACCGAGAAGGATATCGTGACGATATAAACCTGACGACGGGCCGGTGTGGAATGACCTCTAAACTTGACAACTTAACAGCGATTGGACTCGTGCGATACGCAGTCACGACGCTTGGTCTGTGGTGTTAGAAAGGTGTCAAATGTCCATTTCTCCACAACTCCATATTCGTGAAGAGTTCTTTCGTTTCCTTGAAGCCCCTACCCGCGAGAATTTTCGAGAATTACTTCGGGGGCATTTAGGCGAGTTCGATTTCTTGGATTTCAAGGAGAATTGGCCCGAAAAATCAAAGCTAGCCAAACACATTGGGCGTAGGTCTCAAATTGACCAGTTAGGCGGCCCGTCCGTGCGCCAATTTTGTAGATAAACCAACAATACCCCAGAGGAGTGCTGCCCATCACCCACCGTCCTACGTGACACTTTGTCACCTCGCGCATCAATCATGTCCCCAAGCCGTACCAAACCCCCTCAGAATCGCTCAATTTCGGACTTACACCCAACACATTCTGGCGTTTGCCAACAGCGGTACCGGCTGTCTTGTCATTAGGTGTAGCAGGAAAAGAAGACGGAACTCATGACATCAAAGGGCTACCTGTTCTCAAAGACAAGACAGAATTGAAGGATTCTGTGCAAAAATTCCTTCCCGAAACGGTGGTCTATAATATCTTCGACTTTGAATATGAGTGCCGCTGAGTATCAACACATTAGCGGTAAGAAATTCCAGCTTCTATGGGTTGTGCATCATGATGAGTCCATACCCATATTATCTTAAACTGATGGTGCCTCAATAAAGAAAATTGTATTTATATTCGTCACAATGATAGCACCAGGGAGAAAACCATAATCAAATTCAGGCTCTCATTAACAAAAGAATCACGCGCTCGATGCAAACACCCAAGAGTCGGAAACTAAATGAGCATCTGTCTGAACTGGAGGCTCTCTGCAGAAGAAAATCCGTACATCATTCACTTTAGAACTCTTCGATCCCATACATCCATGCAAAGGTTTTTATAAGTTCTTGATAGTTTTTTAGTTAAATAGTTAGTTTTTTTTTTTATTAAGTTATTTTTCAGTTAGTTTTATATTTTTTTTCGTGTTCCGTCTGTTTCTGCGACCCCTTTTTCTTTCTTTTTCTTTTTTTATCTTTCGTTGTTTCTCGTTTTTCGTTCGTTTCGTTTTCCGTTTAGCTCTTTTCTTATTCTGCCCCGCCCTTGTTTCCGTGTTTCTCCGACCGCCGGGCGGGGGGGGGGCGTGTTTCCGTTTCGTGCTTTTTTGGTTGTTTTTCTTTCGCTCCGTTTCTTTGTTTTTCGTTCTCCTCTCGTTTGTGCGTTTTGTTTGTCTGGCCGCGGGTGCGTTTCGTATTTTTTTTGTTTCGCCTTATCTTCTTTCTCTGGTATCTCACTTTTTTTTTTTTATCTTGTCGTTTTTATCCTCTGTCTTCTTATATCTTTTCCGGTTCTCGTCGTCTCGTATCTTCGTTTTCCGTTCGTTTTTGTTTTCGTTCTTCCGTCTGCTATCCCTTCTTTTTCCGGCTTCCGTTTTTTCATCGTTTCGTTTTTCCAGTTGTTTTTTTCAGTCTCGTTCGTCACGTTTATTTTTTTGTTTCGTTTTCGTTTTTTGTGTTTCTCTGTTTCTGCTGCCCTGCAGGCACCCGATCCAGGGCGCTCCTTGCCTCTTGTCCTGCTGTTCTCACTTGATGTATGAAAAGGACCCCTCTATGAAGCGTTTTCAGAACTACGGTGTAATCGGAGTGGGAATCCGCAAAGATGCATCCGTCGGGGCCTCCCTGCGTCGCTTTTGCTGGAGCAATTGCGTGCCCGCGGCGCGAGCACTAACATACCGCTTGATTGTGTCCCCGCTCAAATGTCTGGAAAGGTGTATACGCGTAACTCATTGCGCTGCCTTGGAACGGAGCGAAAGGCTATGGCAATGACAACGTTCCAGAATCGTGTTAGCCGCCATCGCAGCCGGTGGCCGGACGCGCGATACGACCCGGTTTCGTGCGCAAAGCTCTCTTCTTCCTGATCGATAGAGAAATCCCGGAATTCCTAGGCGGCCCTTATTTCCGTTATTTCGAGCTCATCTTACGGCCCCAAATTATCGGAGGGGAGGGGATTGATGTGATTTGAGGCGGTCTACGAGGACTCGATCGATTGGCGAACGCAGCAGATGTAAGCATAGATACAGACGAGGGTTAGATCATCGTATTCGCTGACGATACAGGCTACGCGAAGGCACGGCGGTTTTGGATGTGCTTCCCTAGACCCGACGTCGAGCTACATGGAAAATACCGCCAAGTGGGTACGTTTTGTTCCGTTTGAAGCAACTACTGTCTACGATCTATCGACAATATCCTGAAATGGCAGTCAACAGCATTATTCCGCAGGTGGCGTCTGGCTATTCTCATGCGTCCTTCGTTTCGCAATGCCATCATTTCCTCTCAGGTATAGCGCGGACGCTCGACTTCATGGGAACCCTCGACGGTTATCATTGCGCACGAGTGACGAGCGCCTCGATGCGTTGGCGGGTCTATCACGACTGGAGCGCGGTAGGGGACGACCTCGGGGCGGCTATGAGCGCTCAGCTTATTCAAGGGACACCCCGTGAGCCGCAGACGTAATAGGCGTAGCAATCTGCGACAGACGTCGAGTCCACCGCGGACTGTTGATAAACAATCACCGCGCGCATCCACTCTCCCTCAGAAATCGACAGCGCAGTCAGACTCCGGATTCAGGAGACGCTGGCGGTTCGGTCTGAGCTCTTTTCTGGCCCGCTTCCCCCATCCGGACCATCTGGCGGCGTATGAACGAATATGCCGGGGGCGGCCAAATATATTTTTCAGGCGTTCGGAGCAGAGGGGAACATCGGCGTGCCACAGAATCGAAAGTTGCAGGTTCCAATATGCGGTTGGAGTCACGAGGCCAAATCTTCGGATTTGTTATCGCAATGACTGCGCTCATTGGCGGTATTGGTCTGATGGCTTTCGATAAATCCATCTCGGGAGCAGCAATCAGCCTATCCGCCTTTGCTACTCTGATCGGTGTGTTCGTCTGGTCAAAACGCCAAAAAAAGCGCGAGTTAGGCGAGAAGTCTGATCCTACGGCGCTCGGTAGCATGTGCTGAGCCGGCGCAGAGTAATCCGATCGACGCCATTCAAGACACCGCTCCCAGCACGTTATCGCTTGCCCGCCGGCCCTGAGGCTTTCGTTCAGCGTGGGATCCTCCCCGACGCCCACCAGCGTCTTGCCAAAGTTGCCGCCCTCCAGCATGGCCCGGAACGCCGTGGGGGCTTGCCTTAGCCCCGGCCACAAGTCCTCCTTGTACTTGATCCGCCCGTCTCGAACCCAGTCCGCCATGTCGGCGAGAAATGCGTCCTGGTGCGTGGCCACGAAGTTTCCGACAACAAGCTGGTGTACCTCGACGTTTTGGCGCTGAAACGTCGACTGCCCCTGGTTGCGCCACGCCTCGTGCGGGTCGTCGGAGGACGGGTTGCCGTACTGCGAAACCAGGCCGCAGAGGCTGATGCGGGAACGCGGGTTGAGCAGCGGCAGGACGGCCTCGAATACCTTGCCGCCAACGTTCTCAAAGTACGCGTCGATCCCGTCAGGACACGCCGCGGCCAGCGCTTCCGGCAAGTCCGGGCTTTTGTGCGACACACAGGCGTCGAAATCCAGGACGGCGGTCACGAAAGCGCACTTGTTCGGGATACCGGCGATCCCTACCACACGGCACCCGCAGAGCTTGGCAATCTGGCCGACGATCTGCCCGACACCGCCGGAAGCCGCCGACACCACGACCGTTTCCCCGGCCTTGGGCGCGCACTGGACGTACACCCCTGCGTAGGCCGTCAAGCCGAGCATGCCCAGCACGCCGATGGCCGTGGAGATGGGGGCCAGCGCCGGATCGATCTGGCGGGGAAACATGTAGGTGAACACCGAAATGCCCTCGCCCGTGAGGCCATACGCTTGCCAGCCGTTGGTGTTGAAGACGAAATCGCCCTCGCGGTAGGCCGGCATGTTGCTCTCAACCACCTGCGAAACGGTGCGACCGTGACAGACCTCGCCGGCAGTTTCCAAGCTGCTGCGCCGCCGCCCCCACTGATACGGGTCCAGCGACAGGTAGATGGTGCGCGTCAGCATCTGGTTGGCGCCGGGCTGGGGATAGGAGTTTCGATCAGCCGGAAGTCGTCAGCCACCGGCAGCCCGCCGGGGCGGCGTGCGCGCGAGTAACCACTGGTGTTCATCAGTGTTTTCCTGTTCGAGACGCGGGGAGAAAATGGCATTGCCAGCAACGGGTGGAGCGGGCAGACTGTGCCTTGGCGTTTCCGGGGTGTCGGACTGCCCCTGTGGGCGGGGTAAATCCGCCCCTACCTACAGAGAGGATCGTGACATGACGGCATCCACATCCGTTTACAGCTACGCCGCCGAGGAGGCGGCCTACGGCAGCGCAACCCGCGCTCGGCGGCGCGGTTTGCCGAGGCGCAGCAAGTCCTGGCCGGGGGCAATTCGCGTCTGACGGCCTTCTCAAGCCGTTTCCCTTCTACGCTGAGCACGGCGAGGGCTGCGTGCTGCGGGACGCGGACGGCAACGAGCGCCTCGATTTCTACAACAAACGCCACCTCGCTGATCCTCGGGCATAGGGACCCGCAGGTCACCGCGGCGCTGCAAGCACAGGCCGAAAAGGGCACCGCCTTCGCCAATCCGACCGAGCCGGAGGTGGAGTTGGCCAGTCTACTGACCGCGGCCCTACCTTCGCTGCAGCGGCTGCGCTTTACGAACAGCGGCACGGAGGGTGTGGCATTGGCGCTGCGGGCGGCGCGGGCGTTTACCGGCAAGTCGAAAATCGCCAAAACGGAGGGAGCCTATCACGGCACCAGTGACCACGCCAGCATCAGCGTGACGCTCCGCGTGTCAGAGGCGGGGAGCGAGGAAGCGCCCCGCCGGTGCCGAGCTCGCAGGGGCTGACGGCCAAGACGCTGGACGACATGATCATCATCCCGTTCAACGACGCCGCGGCGGCCCGGCGCATCATCGAGCAGCACGGCGACGACTTGGCCGCGGTGATAGTCGAGCCCGTCATGGCCGGCATCGGCTATGTGCCCGCCGAGGCGGCGTTCCTGGAAGCGCTGCGCGAGGCGTGCGACGGACAGCGGACCCTGCTCATTTTCGACGAGGTACAAACGCTGCGCATGGCCCCCGGCGGCGCCCAGCAGTGGTACGACGTCGTGCCGGACATGAGCTGTCTCGGCAAGATCATCGGCGGCGGCATGCCGGTGGGGGCGTTCGGCGGCAGGGCCGACGTCATGGCGGCCTTCGACGCCACCGAGGGGGCGCCCGCCATCCCGCACGGCGGCACGTTCAACGGCAATCCCATGACCATGCAGGCCGGTCTAGCCACCATGCGCCAGCTCACCCCGGAGGTTTACGAGCGGATCAACGAACGCGGCGAGACCCTGCGGCACCAGCTGAGGAAATGGCGCGCAGCGCCGGGGTGTCGATTCGCATCAGCGGCATCGCGTCGTTCTTCGGCATGCAAACTGACGGACCGCCCGGTGACGACCTACCGCAGCGCCCAGGGCCAGGACGAGGCGTTGCGCCAGAAGCTCTTTCTGCACTTACTGAATGAGGGGATTACGTGAACAGTCGGCTGGTGGGCAACATCTCGGTGCCCATGGGCCGCCATGAGCTTGACAGCTTCACGGCGGCCTGGGAGAGCTTTCTTGCGAAAGTCAGTGGTTAGTGGTCGGTGCCCAGTGGTTAGTGAAAAGCAGAGCCAGAGCGATCCAAGGCGGGTAGGTTTTAAGCCACTGACCACTGGTCACTATCCACCGGGTTTCTCGGCAATGTAGGCCACCTGCCCAAGACGGCCGGAGGTGGTGTATTGCTGGCTCATCTGCAGGCGGTCGAGCCCTTCGAGATAGCGCTCGGTGCCCGGATGGCCGCGAACTCTTCGCGGCGTGCGGTGAAGCCCTCGACGAGGCGGTGTAGAACCGCGCGGCGTAGGCGGACGACACGTCCCGGACGGTCAGGTGCAGGCCTGCTGCCTCAATCGCCTCGGCATAGCTCCGGGGCGTTTCCAGTTCGGGGAAATGCCAAACCTTAAAAAATGCTCGCGCCTCTCGGCAGGCAACGGGCGCCGCTCCGTGTGGTCAAAATTGCCATGCGGCCGCCGGGCTTCAGGAGGGCTGCGCAGCGCTGGATCAGGGCGGCGCGCTGCGGGATGTGGCACCAGGTGTCGTAGGTGATCACGACGTCGAACGAGTCGGGTGGCAGATCGATGTCCTGAATGTCGCCAGGCGGAAACTGCACCGGTCGTCGAGGCCGCTTCCTTGCCTGTGCCACGGCCCGTTCGTGGCCGACGGCGGAAACGTCCACGCCGAGCACCTGGCAGTCGAGTTGCTCGGCGAAAAAGCACGCCGGGCCGCCCGTGCCGCTGCCCACGTCCAGAACCGACGTTCCGGCGCCGACCCCAGCCGGCGCGCGAAGATGAGCATTTCCCGCGGCAGCAGGGTGCATTCCTGGCCGACGAAATCGCCCCCGTATCCCAGCGCAGCTGATGACACCGAGCCGCTGCGCAGCGCGTCGTAGAAACTCGCCGCCGCGGCGCCCGCCTCGCGTTGTGTTTTGTCCATTTGTTTGTCCTCTCCCGCCGCCCGTGCCGACCTCAGGCAAGCCAGCGTTGCGGCGCCGATGTGTTTGACGTCGCGGTAGCTGCGGCGCCCGGCAGTGCCCAATCCCAGATAGAATTCCTTCACGTCCTCGTTGGTGCGCAGGGTCTCGGCGTCGCCATCCAGCACCACTCTGCCGTTTTCCAGCACGTAGCCGTAATCGGCGACCCGCAGCGCCACCGTGGCGTTCTGCTCGGCGAGAAGAAAGCTGACGCCCTCCTCGCGGTTGAGTCGCGCCACAATGTCGAAGATTTCGGCCACCAGCTGGGGCGCCAGGCCCATGGACGGCTCGTCCAGCAGGATGAGCTTGGGGCGGGCCATCAGGGCGCGACCGATCACCATCATCTGCTGCTCGCCCCCGGACACGTAGCCGGCCATGGCATGCCGCCGCTCGGCCAGCCGCGGGAAGTAGGTGTACACCATGTCCATGTCCCGTTGCAGCGCCGTGCGCCCGTCGTGCCGCGTGTATGGCGCCGGTCAGCAGGTTCTCCTCGCAGGTGAGGTGTCCGAACGGGTGGCGCCCCTCCATCACCTGGATGATGCCCTGGCGCACCAGGGCCGACGGGTTGAGCCGGTCGATCCGCTGACCACGGTACTCGATGCTGCCCTTGGTGACCTCGCCGCGCTCGACGCGCAGCAGGTTGGAGATGGCTTTCAGCGTCGTCGTCTTGCCCGCCCCGTTGGCGCCGAGCAGGGTGACGATGCGCCCCTCCGGCACCTCCAGGGACACGCCCTTGAGGACGAGGATAACGTGGTCGTAGATGACCTCGATGTTGTTGACGTTCAGGAGCGTCTGGCTCGACGCAGTCGTGGCGGCAGTCACAGGCGCTCCACCTTACCCTTCCGCGGCGCAATCGCGCGGCGTGATGTTGTTTTCCTTGGCATATTCCGCTGCCGCCTTCTCGATCTGCGCCCGCACCACCTCGCGCATCGGGCTGATCCAGTCGCTCACCTGTCCCACGTCTGGCCGTTCCACTGCTGGATGTACACGGGCCCGTTGCCCCTCGTGGTCTTCGCAGGTAACTTTGAGGGGCTGTGCGAAACCGGCGAGGCCGAGCTCGCCCAGGCGTTCCGTGGTGAGATCCAGGTTCTCCAGGCCCCAGCGCACCTGCTCGCCCGTCATCGGCTGGTCGCCGTAGCGGCCCATGGCGGTGCGGATGGCTTCGGTGTCGTACACGGCGTTCATGATGCGCGGTTGTACAGCACCTCGCCGAAGTTGTGGCCCGCGGCGGCCGCCTGATCGCCGCCGTACACCTGCGACAGGATGGCCTCGTGCACCGGAAAGCCCGCCCCAGCGCCGTGGAAGTTGCCGGCTTTGTAGCCGATAGCGCCGTCACCCGCAGGCACGACGTCCGATTCGGTCCCCGACCACCAACGCCGATGAAGCGGTCCATCGGGTAGCGGATGGAGGCGGCTTCCTTGATCGCCACTTGGTTCATGACGCCCCAGCCCCACATGAAAATCCAGTCCGGACGGTAGCGGCGAACCTGCAGCCAAGTGGATTTCTGCTCCTGCCCCGGATGATCGATGGCGAGCAGCTTGAGGTCGTAGCCGTATTTTCGGCGAGAATCGTCAGCGTCGGAATCGGCTCCTTGCCGTACGGGCTGTTGTGGTACACCAAGGCGATTTTCTTGCCCTTCAGCGCCTCCATGCCGCCTTCCTGCTGCCCGACGTATTTGACAAAAGCGGATACCTGGCTCCAGTACGTGGTGGGGAAATTGAAGGTCCACTTGAAGATGCGCCCGTCAGCCGCCGCGGTGCGCCCGTAGCCCATCGAGTGGATGGGCAGCTTGTCCACCGACGCCTTGGGGATGAGCTGATAGGTGATGCCGGTGCTGTAGGGATTGATCAGCGAGGCGCCCGTTGCGCCTCTGTTTTTCAGCCTTTCGTAGCACTCGACGCCCAGCTTGGTGTTGTACTTCGTCTCGCACTCTTCCCAGGTGATCTTGACGCCGTTGATGCCGCCGTCGCGCGCGTTGAGCACTTGATGTAATCGACATAGCCGTTGGCCACCGGGATGCCGTTCGGCGCATAAGGCCCCGTGCGGTACACGAAAAGCGGGATGAACTGCTCGTCCTGGCCCCACACCGGAGCCACCATGAGCACCGCCACCAGCAACGCCATCCCGGCCCACACGCCGGGCATTTTGATACGTTTCATGACAACCTCCATCGAAAGTTGGCAAGGGATTGATTTATCGCAGAATGCGCCGTTGTCGTCCTGGATCAGGTGGCGGCTATTGTAAACGCGCCCGGCGCGTTAACGCAAATTGGTGAGCCGCTCTTGATCGCCCCCACGGCGTGGGTCCAATCCGAATGTTAGTTCATGTTCAACGTCGGCTCCAATGAATACGTGACAGGCTTGATCGACCCCCTGGATTGTCCGCAGACCGCCATGCTGCCCAGTCGGCCGTGTAGCTAACGCAGCACCACGACCTCCGGCGCCGGTGCTCGGTAGCCAAGCGAGGCATGCGGCCTCACCCTTGTTGTAGTGCCGACGCCAACTCTCAATCACAACTGTGCCTCCTAAGCGTGTAGAACACCTCGCCATTCAGTAGCTCGTCACGCAACCGCGCGTTGAAACTCTCGACATAGCCGTTCTCCCACGGACTGCCAGGCGTGATGTAGATGCCGTCTTGGCGCCGAGCGCGACCAACCCACCTCTTGAACAGCTTGGCGATGAATTCCGGACATTGTCGGAGCGGATATACCCTGGGGCACCACGCAGGATGAACAACTCCGCCAGCAACTCGATAACATCGACGGACTTGAGAGCCGGCGCGCCACCGGATGCGAGGCAGTCGCGGGTGAATTCATCGATCGTGTTGAGCATCCGGTACTTGCGCCCGTCATGGGTGCGTCCCGGGCGAAGTCATAACCCAGACGTGGTTTGCATCTCGGCCGCAGGCGCATGCACGAGCCGTCGGCGAGCCACAGGCGCCGACGCTTCGGTTGCTTGTGCCGGCACCTTGAGCCCCTCACGCCGCCAGATGCGCTCCACCCGCTTGTCGTTGACCACCCAGCACGCGGCCTGGTGTCGTGCATCGTTCCGAGCCCTGCCATTTCGGCCAAAGCGGCTGTATTTCCTGTCGGGACGGATCGCGGGCACGTTCGACAGAGGCGACGCCTCGGCCAATCGTGACGAGAGGTCGTTGCTGACAGGAGGGCGTATTGACCGGCCGGCTTCTCGGCACGCGACGAAACGTAAAAAAGCAGATAAACCCGTACTGGAGGGACGGTCTTCCTGGGTCCCGGAGACGATTCATGCGTGGTACAGTCCTGGGCTCTGGCCAAGAGATCATAACTGCTGCATTCAGATTCGCCTCAGCTGCATCCATATGGCGTCCCCGCGCTATCCACGGGTAGCCGTGCGGTCTGTATGGGGGCCGTTCCAGCGAAAATCCAAATCCCATCCACCCGTCCACATGCCGATCATGTAGGCGCAGTTCCCCGGTCCCTTGTTTCACACGACGCAAAGGGCCCCATTCATTTTCCTTCCGGTCCCGTCACCTCTTCGGCCGCCGGTAGTAGGCATTGCGGGTTCTCCTGCTTTTCATCAAGATATATCCGTCGGCAAGCACCGGACCCAAGAATGCTCTCGTTTCCCGCTGCGCTTCGGGCGACAGAATGTTCGCGATAATCGCGGGGTACAGGGCTGCATCAAGGGTTACACACGGACGGTACCCGACTGGGGCGCCCTCTATCCAGCGAAAACCGATTCTTGGTTGGTTTCCCCACCTCACAAGCCTGTACTCGTAAGCAGCACTGCAGGGGCAACCCCATGGAAACAACGTCGCCATCCCAAGCTTTCCCACCTACACTGTAGGCATAATCTCCTCCCTGGCTTTCCCATAAAGCGGAGGATTTCCACGGAATCCCCCTGCTAGGCAATAGCGAGCTGCGCGCCCCCTGGGCTTCAGCCGCCGACCACATCCTTAGAGAGCCTCTTCGGACAGTTTGCCCAGGTTGGCGCACTGTTCCTGTTCGCTGGATGCGACTTTCTGCTGATCCGTCATGCTTGTGCCTCCTCTCAAAGGAACTGTCCAGGTCGGTAACGTCCCGTGACCGAGCTCTACGTACACGACGGCCGCTGTCGAGCAGTTTGGCGGGTGGTTCGGGTCGTAGTCGGGATGATCGTAGGGACAACTGTGCCACCGCCCCCGACGATGCCCTTCATGATCTCTTCGACCGGCGACTCGACTCCGGTCTACCCTGACACAGTCAGCTTGGAAACGTCCTGCTCCGCCATCGACATCTCTTTTCACTGTCCGACAGTTGGTCACGCCACAATTTTAGAAAGGGCATAGCAAGGCTGGAAACGGCAGTGCAAGTTTTCCACCCATTTGGGAGTCGAAACACGGTCTCTGGTCGGTTCACGACAGAGGGTTCCAAGCCGCCGGGAAACACTCCTACCACATTCGCCTACTGCTACGCTACCCGCGCCATTTGCCGACTCTACCTCAAATGATTGTCACGGGCCGAGTATGGAGCGCTTGGCGCGCGGCCTGGGTGAGGTGCTGCACGAGACGGGCGGCCCCAGGTCCAGGCCGGTGGATCGGCGCTGCGGATGGAAGTCGAGGCGGTGGTGCAGGCCCTGCGGCTGCTCAGGAGGGAGTGGGCGGAGCTGGGCGACTCGTGATCGCGTGAATCCTCTCGCGGAAAAATTAGGTGGTCGGTCCTGATTTTGGGGAAACGGGCCAGATCGGGTCGTGGTGCGGGTCTTGGTCGATGTGGGCGTCGCTCCCCAGTCAATACGTATCCGCCAACAATCGAGGCAACATCCTTATCAGGGACGTGACGTGTTGGGGTTCGCCAACAGTATCCGCCCGTTTTTCTCATACTTCTCAACGTTGACGTATTCCGCGGACTAGGCGGCTGTGTTGTGTAATGGTTTTATAAAGACAAACATATGGATGAGGTCGCGTTACTAGGCCTATCGGATGGGTCCGAGCTGCACGAAAGGTATTCGAGACTTTCCCAGGGCGTGCGGGATTCGCGTAAGCACGGCCCTGACGATTTTGTGGGTGGCGGCGGTTCGCGGCCTGAAGGTGGCTAGGGGCGGGGTGTTCATGGAAATCGCAGTGCGGGGGTACGGACGATGCCTGCGGGTTGCTAGTGTGTGGAGTTCCGGACAACTATGGGTGATCCATGCGTTCCAGAAGAAATCGAAGACGGGGATCAAGAGCCCGGTAGTGCGAGATCGGATTTGGCCAGGACCGGCAGGGCCAAGGCGGATTCCTTGGCGGCCCGGGATCATTCGCCTTGATTGGACAAGCGCGTGCTTGTCGTGCGAGGGCCGCCGACCTGACCAGATTTGCCGCGGCGGACTTCTCGCGCATTCGCAACGCGGATTTGGGACGGTTCACGCTGGACCGGTTGATGAAGATGCTCGCCTCCCTTGATGAAAGTCTGCGGGTCACGCTCCATGTCACCAAAGGCGGGGGCGGGGATATGGCCACAACGGAATGACGTGTGAGGCGGCTTGGCCAAGTAGAATGTAGAGGTTTCATGACGAATTTCAGCGCAAGTTGCCCTCGCCTGGCATGGGGGGACAGCCACCGGAAATTCGCTGCGTGTGCTGCGATACGAATCTCACTGCGGGTGGCTCCGATACCGAGAAACACATTGTGTGCGGATGATGTGCCGCGCCCGCATTGTGCTGCCCTGTTTTCGCGCGCTGGCTGCAGCGAGCTTCGCGGCGCGTGGCCTGAGCGGATCGCGGATATACGACAGGGGCCCGACAGTACCGCGCGTGAGGCGCGCGATGCGATGTCGGAAACGTACAATGAAGGCCAGGAATGTGGTTGAAAGCAGGCAGGTCGTTCCCGAAGAGCGGTGGGTCGGCTGATGCACGTCGGTATCAAGGGTTACGTGGCAGACCGCGGCACTTTTCTGCGCTTGCGCTGTGCTGTCCGCTCCGGTTTTGACGCCGCTGGCCAAGGGCATGGGGGTCATGTCGCTGGAGGCCTGGATGGGATTGTGGCGGGCCAGCAATTCCTGTTAGTCGCAAAACCTCTTGTTCCAGGCGGGTTCCGGTGACATTGAGAAAAAGTTCATCGTAGACTCCAAAGCGTCGACCGGGTTCATGATCTCGTCACTGCACGTCGGGAGAAGAACAATGGCAAGGGGAAACCGATGTTGCGCAAGACGCTGAGCACGGTGGGTCTTCTGAGGACGGTGCGGTCGTGCTTCGAGCGCATCGATGG